AATGTTCAATACTAAACATGAAAAACAAAATTTCCTTTCTTAATGGGTTCATCAAGGACCAGTTCCCAACTTAAATTATGTCATTATATCTAAGGTATGTTCTGAATTGAACACCTATGTTCACCACTGTTAATATATGAACATTTAAAATGATTTCATTTCATATGCATTTCACATTATCAATATGTTTTATTAATTTGCCAAATCTTAAAATATCGTTTTAGATTATTTGCTAAATTCAAAAACGACATGGAAAATGTTATATTTTGTAGTTGTGCAAATGCAATAAACCATACTAAATAATTATATTTTGTATATTTAGCATAACAGTCCATACTACAGTCATGAGTGCTGCATTTCCCGAGAAATACGCAACTACGATCAGGAATACAATCCCTAAATTGTGGTGGAGAAAACCGGGTGCCAAGTAACAAAGCAGAAACCTATTCGATTCGCTGACTGTTTCTTCTCACGATGGTGGCTGCTGCTTCGGATATACATATGTGTTAATTTTTTTATTGGAAATTAAAAATATAAGAAGGCTCAGGCACTCAACCAGTGAGGTGAATCAGAATCTGGGGGAGTACCGACCCACTAATACATGCTCAATAGACCAAACAAATATTTAGAATCCTGAACACTCAAGTACTAAACAAGAAACAGAAAAATACTGCTTAAGAAGCTTTTTTATTAATCACTCATTTTATATTATTATTCCAACATACACACACTCAATATGAAGCAAATATTGTTTATATCCAATGTGGGAAATAAAACTTTTCAAATATTTCTTCAAATGTTATGTTTTAAAGAGAAACACAATTAGAATGTAAAACAATTCAGCTTATAGCTAATTTTAACAACATTTTGGAAACAATGAGGACAATCTGATTATCAATGAGCATCATCCTTACTGCAGGTTCATCTCTCTATATGTGCCTTAATATTTTATTTTTATGCTTTCTGATTTGAGGTTGCAGCTATTTTTTTTTATTCAATAAAAAATACTCCTGCCATGGATTAACTAGATTCCTTCGAAACCTTCACGTTCCAATGTCCCAGGCATTGCACAAGCATTCACATTCTTACAGAATTGGAGCTATGTGCTCACTCCTCACTCTAAAATACTACTCCCACTGCTGGGTAAATGGTCAATTAATTTGGCTAGCATAGCTATAGTCCAAGGATATGAAGGCTTTTGTGTTTGCATTGTTGTTTGGAAAGTGTCTTAAAATTGCCAATAGATCTCAGAAGTAAACATTTTTGGAGTTTTGTTTCTAAACCGACGGCCAGAATCTATGTGGCTAATTTCTACACTGAACAATATTATAAACACAACACTTTTGTTTTTGCCCCCATTTTTCATTAGCGGAACTCAAAGATCTAAAACTTTTTCTATGTACACAAAAAGTCTATTTCTCTCAAATATTGTTCACAAATCTGTCTAAATCTGTGTTAGTGAGCACTTATCATATCAAGATGCTGATTAGACAGCATGCATGAGTATTGCACAGGTGTGCCTTAGGCTGGCCACAATAAAAGGCCATTCTAAAATGTGCAGTTTTATCACACCGCTCAATACCAAAGATGTCGCAAGTTTTGAAGAAGCGTGCAATTGGTATGCTACTGTAGGAATGTCCACCAGAGCTGTTGCCCGTGAATTGAATGTTCATTTCTCTACCACAAGCTGTCTCCAAAGGCGTTTCAGAGAATTTGGCAGTACATTCAACTGGCCTCACAACCGCAGACCACGTGTAACCACACCAGCTCAGGACCTCCACATCTGGCCAGGGCCAGATTAAGAGCCCAGTGGGCCTGGTGCTGACAATTATGATGGGCCTAATTACAAAATCTTATTGACCAAAAACACTAAAACAGTCCTACCTCCCAAGCGTGATCTATCTGATGGAGATGGTGCTGGAGGGAAACTCATAGGATGCAGCTATGAGAAAACACATACCCTATGCTAATCTCACGCTTTCATCTTTCAAGTAAATCCATACCCCCTAACAGCAGTGTCCAGTAAAGCAGGAAGTATATGGATGGGGTAAAAGGGTGGGCCACTGACGCAAATCACATAACCAGAACTGCCAAAAGGGGGCATGTCTGTGTCCCCATGTCTCTCAGTGTCCCCATGTTACTAGAACACTAAGGGACAGTGAGAGACATGGGGACACTGGGAGACATGGGGACACTTAGCTACTAAGGAACCCTGCAGACCTGGGGACACTGAGACACTTGGGGACACTGGGAGACATGGAGACACTGGGTGACTTTGAGACACCAAGGGACTCTGGGAGACATGGGGCACTGAGACACTGTGATACATAGGGGACACTGTGATATATAGGAAAAACTGTGATATATAGGGGACACTGGAGACTTGATAAAGACCTGGGTACAGGTCAAAATGTTGTGGTGTCTAATAAACCTGCCTGAGATTTTTTTCTTTCATACTAGGGGACAGAGACACTTGGGGGTACGGTGAGACATTGGGACACTATGAGACTAGGGGACACTGGGAGACGTGGGGCATTGCACTGAGACACTCTGATACATAGGAGACACTGTGATACATAGGCGACACTGGAGACCTGATAAAGACCTGGGTACAGGTCGAAGTGTTGCGGTGTCCAATAAACCTGCTTAAATCTATCACAGTGAGTGCCTGAGATTTTTTTCTTTTATACTAGGGGATACTGAGAGACATAGGACACTGGGAGACATTGGGACACTGAGACACTGGGAGACTAGGGGACTTTGGGAGAGTAAGGGTCCTTGGGAGACATGGGGCCACTGTGTCCCTAGTGTCCCTATGTCTCCCAATGTCTCAGTGTCCCCAAGTCTCTCACCGTCCCCAGGTCTCACAGTTTCCCCTAGTGTCTGTGTCCCCATGTCTCCCTGCAGTCTTTCCCCCCATCCCTCACTTACCTGAGCTTTGGCTGTCTCTGCAGGCTCGGAGCTGCTGTCTGGACTCTGTGCAGAGCTGCTTCCTTGCGGAACAGCGATCCCTACTGGCCGGCGCTGGTATTGCAGGATAATCTCTGTTTATACTGAGACTGACATTTGTATTGCCGGTATTACTGCAATACCGGCACTGGCTAGGCAGCCTCAAATACCTGAGAAATACTTCTGAGAAATACCTGGTAACCCTATGAAATACCTAGCAAGAGTAGTGTGTAAAAAAAAAATAGTTTTTATTTTTTTAATCAATGGGCCTATTCCATGGGCTTGGGCCTGGAGCTGCAGCTCCATCAGCCCCTATGTTAATCCAACCCGGCATCCAGCATCTTCACCTCCGCAACCCGGACAGCTGCTGCAACAATCGGTTTGTATAACCAAAGAATTTCTGCACAAACTGTCAGAAAATCTGACAGGAAAGCTCACCTGCATCCTCATTGTCCTCATCGGGATCTCGACCTGACTGCAGTTCGTCTTCGTAACCGACTTTAGTTTGCAAATGCTCACATTCAATGGCGTCTGGTACTTCGTAGAGGTGTTCTCTTTATGGATGAATCCCGGTTTTCACTGTACAGGGCAGATGGCAGACAGCGTGTATGGTGTCATGTGGGTGAGCGGTTTGCTGATGTCAATGTTGTGGATCCACATGGTGGCGGTGGGGTTATGGTATGGGCAGGCATATGTTATGGGCAATAAACACAGGTGCATTTTATTGATGGCATTTTGAATGCACAGAGATACTGTGATGATATCCTGAGACCCATTGTGGTGCCATTCATTCATAACCATCACCTCATGTTGCAGCATGATAATGCACGGCCCCATGTTGCAAGGATCTGTACACAATTCCTGGAAGCTGAAAGCATCCCAGTTCTTGCATGGCCAGCATCCTCACCGGACACGTCACCCATTGAGAATGTTTGGGATGCTCTGGATTGGCGTATGTGACAGGATGTTCAAGGTCCTGCCAATAACCAGCAACTTTGCACAGCCATTGAAGAGGTGTGGACCAACATTTCACAGCCCACAATCAACAACCTGATCAACTCTATGCGAAGGAGATGTGTTGCACTGTGTGAGGCAAATGGTGGTCACACCAGATACTGACTAGTTTTCCCCCCCCCAATACAGTAAAACTGCACATTTTAGAGTAGCCTTTTATTGTGGCCCACCTAAGGCACATCTGTGCAATAATCATGCTGTTTAATCAGCATCTTGATATGCCACACCTGTGAGGTGGATGGATTATCTCGGCAAAGAAGAAGTGCTCACTAACACAGATTTAGACTAGAGTTGAGCGAACCAAAACTGTAAAGTTCGGGTTCATACCGAAGATTACGGTTTTTGGACCCCGGACCCGAACACGGACATTTCACTGTATGTTCGGGTTGGAGTTCGGTGTTCGGTGATTTAATGCCACGTTTTGAAAGGCTGTAGGGCAGCCAATCAACAAGCGTTTGACTCATGTGCCTACTAATAGCATGGCTGTGATTGGCCAGTGCAGCATGTGAGCCATCTACCAAAAGGCTGAAAGACCTAAATTGGTCACCTAAATTGGTCTTTCAGCCACATTTACTTATACTAAGTAAAGATTACTTAGTATTAGTAAATTCAGCCCCTACTTGCTATACCACGAGTAGGGGCATGTCTAGTAAACAGTGAGCAGCCAGTGGCTGCTCACTGTAAAAAAAATAAAGAAAATAAAAACCTATTGGCCCCCACCCCTGAAAGGCGGGTGGGGGCCCTAAAGTAAATAGGGGGGGCCCTACTGTCCTCCACCCCGGCCCCCACCCCTGTGCGGTGGGTGGGGGCCCTAAATAAGATTGAGGGGAGGACACCTACTGTTCTCACCCTGGCCCCAACCCCTGAGCGGTGGGTGGGGGCCCTAAATTTAGAATAAGGGGGGACCTATTGTCCTCCCCCCTGGCCCCCACCCCTGGGCGGTGGGTGGGGGCCCTAAATAAGATTGAAGAGGGGGGGACCTACTGTCCTCCCCCCTGGACCCCACCCCTGAGGTGGGGGCCCTAAATAAGAATGAGGGGGAGGAACCTACTGTCCTCCCCCCCTGCCCCCACAACTGAGCGGCGGGTAGGGGCCCTAAATTTAGAATAAGGGGGGGACCTATTGTCCTGCCCCCCCGGACCGCACCACTGCACAGTGGGTGGAGGCCCTAAATAAAAATGTAACCCTCCCGTCACCCCCCTCCCCCAAAAAATAACCCCTACCTACCCCCCTCATCCTAAAAATAATGAGGGGAGACCATAAGCTAGATATCTGTAAAAAAAAAATAAAAAAATAAAAAAACTTACCATTTCATGTCTTCTTTCTTCTAAAATCTTATTTTTTCAGCCCCAAAAAAGGGCAAATAAAAATCCATAATAACCGACACACTTTAAAAAATAAATAAAAAATCCATCTTCACCTGGAGGGCTCCACACAGACTAAGCTCTGTGCGTTGGTTATTATGGATTTAAGGTAGAGGTTATTTTTTTGTGGGGAGAGGGGTGACGGGGGGGTTAAATAGGTCCCCACTTATTCTAAATTTAGGGTCCCCACCCGCCACTCAGGAGTGGGGGCCAGGGGGGTAGGACAGCAGGTCAACCCCCTCATTGTTATTTAGGGCCCCCATCCACCGCTCAGGGGTGGGGGCCGGGGGGAGGACAGTAGGCTCCCCCCTCATTGTTATTTAGGGCCCCCACCCGCCGCTCAGGGGTGGGGCCAATAGGTTTGTTTGTTTTTTACAGTGAGCAGCCACTGGCCGCTCACTGTTTACTAGACATGTCCCTACTCGCGGTATAGCTAGTAGGGGCTGAATTTACTAATACTAAGTAATCTTTACTAAGTATTAGTAAATGTGGCTGAAAGACCAATTTAGGTCTTTCAGCCTTTTGGTAGATAGCTCCCTAATACCGTGGGAATTAGGGCGTTATCTACTAAGCGGCTGTTTATTTTATGTTATTTCAAGTGATTTCCCTATCCACATTTGTTTGCAGGGCACTTGTCCTACTCTTACCCCCATTTTATTTCCTTTTGCAGCCCTCTAGCCCTTTCCAGGACTTTTTTAGAGGCATTTTAGTGCCCAAAAGTTCGGGTCCCCATTGACTTCAAACTTCGGGTCCCGAACTCAAACTTTTTGACGAAGTTCGGCCGAACTCGGCGAACCCGAACATCCTGGTGTCCGCTCAACTCTAATTTAGACCGATTTGTGAACAATATTTGAGAGAAATAGACCTTTTATATACATAGAAAAAGTCTTAGATCTTTGAGTTCAGCTCATGAAAAATGGGGGCAAAAACAAGTGTTGCGTTTATAATTTTGTTCAGAGTACAAAAGGAATTTTCAAATGTGGGTACTGTAAGTTTTGTGACTATATTCTGCCTTCATGATCAGTGGTCAGTAGTGATGTCCCGAACGGTTCGCCGAACGGTTCGCCACGGACTCATCATTGAGTAAACTTTGACCTTGTACCTCACAGTCAGCAGACACATTCCAACCAATCAGCAGCAGACCCTCCCTCCCAGACCTTCCCACCTCCTGGACAGCTCACTAAGAATGCAGCTTCACAATGGATGCTGTCCAGGAGGTTGGAGGGTCTGGGAGGGAGGGTCTGCTGCTGATTGGCTGGAATGTGTCTGCTGACTGTAAGGTACAGGGTCAAAGTTTACTCAATGATGAGTCCATGGCGAACCGTTCGTGGCGAACCGTTCGGGACATCACTAGTGGTCAGTAATCAGACTTCAAAGGACGTTTCTATGAATGACTTTGTAAATTGTAGCTTGGTAGACGTGGTTTATTTAATCACATGTGTCTGTAGGCTGCAATACATCGGCAAAACATAGCAATTACGTCGTAGGGTCTTACATGTTAACTCTATTACCAACCTAAATGTTGACACCCTCATAGCTAGACATGTAGGGTTCAAGAGTGCTCAGTTTTCAAGTGATACAAAAATCACAGCTTGATCACCATAAAGGAAATATTAATCAGCTACTGTAGAAGGTGGAAACACGGTGGATCTATTCATTCCAAGCCTTGCCCGTGAAAGGATTGAATGAAGAGTCTAATTTCATTCCATTTATACACTCAAAGTATATCATTAGCATGCCCCATATTTAATCTATTTAATGATGGATGGTATCCATATTATTATTAATAATTTCTCAATTTAATTTGCTTTGATTTTCTACAGTCTCTAATAGGACTAATTTTTATGTATCTTTCATTTTAATTATATGTAGACAAGAGTGTGTTAAAACCATCATATTATTATTTCTGTTATTGTATTTCATCAATAGTTCTCAATTATTATTTCTTTCTTTATTTGATTGATGTGTTCAATTACTAACTCAGCAACGTTTGTTTTCATAACTCTGGTTACGCCACTGATACATGATGTAATTACCATGGTAGAAAACATTTGTGGTTTTCCACTGCAAATTATATGCATGTGGCTCGTCTTTTGTCAGGAAGAGCTTGTCTTCACCTTGACAACATGTGGTAGCAAAATATGGCCATAACTGAGGATGAAGATAAAATCATGAATATAACATATTTACTAGGCATGTGCATGGGGAAAATTTTTGGTTCAGTTCGGCATTCCGAAATTCGGGACTTTCACAATTCGGCACTTTAACACTTCAGAAATTCAGCACTTCGGCAACTTCGACACTTCGGAAATTCGGCAACTTCAACACTTCTCTTGCAGCCGCTTAGTACATAACTCCCTAATTCTCACGGTATTAGGGAGTTATCTACTAAAAGGCTGAAAGACCTAAATTGGTCTTTCAGGGAAATGTACTAATACTAAGTAAAAATGACTTAGTATTAGTAAATTTTGCCCCTACTCGCTATACTGTGAGTAGGGGCATGTCCTGTGGCTGCTTACTGTTAAAAAAAAAATATAAAAAAAATAGGGTCCCCCCTCCCGAGCCCCCACCCGCGAAAAATAGGATCCCCCTTCCGTCCCCCACCCCTGAGCGGCGGGTGGGGGCCCTAAAGTAAAATGATGGGGGGGGGACCTATTGTCCTTACCCCCGGTCCCCACCCCTGAGCGGTGTGTGGGGGCCCTAAATACTAATAAGGGGGGGACCTAATGTCCTCCCCCCGGCCCCCACCCCTGAGCGGCGGGTGGGGGCCCTACAGTAAAATAAGGGGTGGGACCTAATGTCCTCCCCCTGGCCCCCACGCCTGAGCAGTTGGTGGGGGCCCTAAATACTAATAAGGGGGGCCTAATGTCCTTCCCCCACCCCTGAGCGGCGGGTTGGGGCTCTAAATTGGAATAAGGGGGGGACCTAATGTCCTCCCCCAGGACCCCCACCCCTGAGCAGCGGGTGGGGGCCCTAAATTGGAATGGGGGGGACCTAATGTCCTCCTCCCTGGCCCCCACCCCTGAGTGGTGGGTGGGATCCCTAAATGCTAACAAGGGGGGGACCTAAGGTCCTCCCCCCTGGCCCCCACCCCAGAGCGGTGGGTGGGGCCCTAAATACTAATAGGGGGGAACTATTGTCCTTACCACCGGCCCCCTACCCGTGAGCGGCGGGTGGGGGCCCTAAAAAATTTTTGACGCCCCCCAGGTGACTAGGGGTCCCCAAACCCCTAGTCAGCCCCTCCCCCCACAAAAAAAAATTAAAGGGACACTATAGTCACCTGAACAACTTTAGCTTAATGAATCACTTTTGGTGTATAGAACATGCCCCTTCAGCTTCACTGCTCAATCCTCTGCCATTTAGGAGTTAAATCCTTTTGTTTATGTGACTTGCACAGCCTTCTATAAACACTTCCTGTAAAGAGATCCCTATTTAGGCTTTCTTTATTGCAAGTTCTGTTTAATTAAGATTTTCTTATCCCCTGCTATGTTAATAGCTTGCTAGACCCTGCAAGAGCCTCCTGTATGTGATTAAAGTTCAATTTAGAGATTGAGATACAATTATTTAAGGTAAATTACATCTGTTTGAAAGTGAAACCAGTTTTTTTTTTTCATGCAGGTTCTGTCAATCATAGCCAGGGGAGGTATGGCTAGGGCTGCATAAACAGAAACAAAGTGATCTAACTCATAAATGACAGTGAATTGAGCAGTGAAATTGCAGGGAAATGATCTATACACTAAAACTGCTTTATTTAGCTCAGGGGTGGGGGCCGGGGGGAGGACAATAGGTCCCCCCATTAGTATTTAGGGCCCCCACCCACCGCTCAGGGGTGGGGGCCAGGGAGGAAGGACCTTAGGTCCCACCCTTATTAGTATTTAGGGCCCCCACCCACCACTCAGGGGCTGGGGCTGGGGGGAGGACGTTAAGTCCCCCCCCTATTCTGATTTAGGGCCCCCACCCGCCGCTCAGGGGTGGGGGCCCAGGGGGAGGGCAATAGGTCCACCCCATTATTTTACACTAGGGCCCACACCCACCGCTCAGGGTTGGGGCCCGGGGGGGGGGGGCAATAGGTCCTCATAGGTGACCTTTTTTTTCTTTTCTTTTTTTACAGTGAGCAGCCACAGGTACAAGCTGCTCACTGTTTAATAGACATGCTCCTACTCGCGGTATAGCGAGTAGGGGCATAATTTACTAATACTAACTAATCTTTACTTAGTATTAGTAAATTTGTCTGAAAGACCAATTTAGGTCTTTCAGCCTTTTAGTAGATAGCTCCCTAATACCGTGGGAATTAGGGCGATATCTACTTATTCATTCCTGTCATTACATTGACTGGCCAAGTAACTTACATTTTATATTAATGTATGTTACTTGATTGTTGTAAGTGTTGCAAATGCTTACAGCTGAATCCTGGCTATGTTTGTATACTTTTTATTTAAAATTGTATACAATGTAACATTGTTCTTCTTTCACTGGGTAAGTATATTAGTACTTAGGCAATAATGTACTTCGGCACTTTTGAAATTCGGTAATTTCGGAACTTCAAAGTACCCGAATGTCCGAATTTCCCGAAATTCGTCCGAATTTATATTCGGACCGAAACGAATTGCCCATGTCTAATATTTACCGTTCTTGGTTTAACTTGATCTACCAAGGCTTGATTTTTAACCGAGTAGGTGGTTGGATATTGAATTGAGTATATCAGATACTTGGCCCATATGTTCTAGGGTACTGATTTAGTAATCACCCTTGTTGTATTGCAGAAGATCAAACAATAGTTAGGGCATATTGTCGTATAAAGACTGGTATTGTAGTCAAAATGAAGCAGATAAAAATGGCAACATAAACCTAATTCAAAAATAAAATAAAAATACAGGTATATACAAAGTCCTTCTCTAAGAAGAATTTTGGGTCTGGAATGGGGCTCTGCTTCCAGAAAGTATGTTGCACGTCGACTTAGAAAGAGAGGGAATCCACGAAGGCCAATTAGTTTATTGGCTTTGTGGAGTCAATATCCACGTGCTATTTGGCCATAGTGCTTGTCTTGATGCTGTAACGAGAATATACCCCTACACGCAGGATCCAGCTAAACAGAGGCAAATACAGAGGAGAGATACGTCTACCGGACCTTAGAATGGCCGGACTTGACGTATATGAGAGAAGACAGAGCCAGGAACAAACCGAGGTCAAGGGCACAGAGAGACAGCGTAAACTAGGACAAGCCGGGGTCTGGTACACGGAAAACAGCAAGCCGGCAAACAGTACAGATAAGGATAAAGCGAAAACGAAGTCAGAATACGAAGCCAAAGTCAATACGAGAAAACACAACTGAACACCACAAGCGCTAAAGGGAACTGAAACAGAAACCACGATAGGGCAAGGAACAAAGGGAAGAAGGTGAGTATAAATACCTAAACATCTAATTTGATTGGTCCCTGTCACATCCACGCCCCCAAAAGGTAAGTGTATGGGGAGTGTGGCATGACAGGGACCAATGGGATGCCTTTTCCAATTTAGGCACCCACTGTCCCTTTAAGAGCGCGCCCGAGACTCGCGGCGCGCTCTTAGATTCAGGCGGGACACGTGACCGCCTCACGCGGTCACTGCCCGCCCTCCATCCGAAGTAGTTGGATGAGCCGCGCGCGGCTCGTGCAGCCGCAGGACCGCGCGCGGCTTGAAGAGAGGACCGCGACCGGCCCCCGGTTAAGGTAAGTAACGCTACAGTACCCCCCCCTGAGGACACGCCCCCCGGGCGGGTAGGACCAGGCCTGGCAGGAAAACGTGAATGGAAAGAGCGCACAAGACGGGGAGCATGGACAGCATCGGCCGAAATCCAACTGTGCTCCTCAGGCCCATAACCCTTCCAATGTACCAAGTATTGAAGTCGACCCCTAAGGAAACGAGAGTCAAGAACAGCAGACACTTCAAACTCCTCATGACCCTCTACCGAGATAGGAGGGGGAGGAGGAGTTTGAAGTGTCTGCTGTTCTTGACTCTCGTTTCCTTAGGGGTCGACTTCAATACTTGGTACATTGGAAGGGTTATGGGCCTGAGGAGCACAGTTGGATTTCGGCCGATGCTGTCCATGCTCCCCGTCTTGTGCGCTCTTTCCATTCACGTTTTCCTGCCAGGCCTGGTCCTACCCGCCCGGGGGGCGTGTCCTCAGGGGGGGGTACTGTAGCGTTACTTACCTTAACCGGGGGCCGGTCGCGGTCCTCTCTTCAAGCCGCGCGCGGTCCTGCGGCTGCACGAGCCGCGCGCGGCTCATCCAACTACTTCGGATGGAGGGCGGGCAGTGACCGCGTGAGGCGGTCACGTGTCCCGCCTGAAACTAAGAGCGCGCCGCGAGTCTCGGGCGCGCTCTTAAAGGGACAGTGGGTGCCTAAATTGGAAAAGGCATCCCATTGGTCCCTGTCATGCCACACTCCCCATACACTTACCTTTTGGGGGCGTGGATGTGACAGGGACCAATCAAATTAGATGTTTAGGTATTTATACTCACCTTCTTTCTTCGATACAAAGAAGAACCCTGCTCCAGCTGGAGAAGAGGATCTCCTAATAAACCATTTTTCTAATGATTCCTTGATGTACTCCTCCATGACACGGTTTTCTTGAACCGATAAGGGGTACACCCTGCCCTTTGGAGGTATAGTGCCAGGCAACAAGTCAATAGCGCAATCATAGGGTCTGTGAGGCGGTAATTTCTCAGCCTCCCTTTTATCGAAAACAGTCTTTAGAGATAAATACTGAGGGGGTATAACCATAGACAAAGGAGGACTGGTAGGTACCTCAATAGAATTCAAAGGTGTGACTTCCAACGTACAAGACTCGTGGCAGGCCTTACTCCATGATTTTATTTGCCCTGTCTCCCAGTCAAAAATGGGATTGTGAGCACGTAACCATGGATACCCTAATACTAACTGTGAAGAGGGAGAGGTGATAACCTGGAATCGAATGGTTTCGTAGTGTAAAACCCCTGTGTACATGTGTAGTGGTTCAGTCTCATGAGTAACAACTGGAGAACTTAATGGTCTACCATCTATGGCCTCAACGGCCAAGGGTATCTCCTTCTCTCTGATGGGAATGTTGTTTCTCTTTATAAAGCCAGAGTCTATAAAATTTTCAGCTGCCCCAGAGTCAACCAGAGCATATGTGTTGTCAACTATACAAATCTCTCCCATATATAAAGAAACCGGAAGAAGCAAGCGGTTAGGAGGCAATTTAGGAGACTTAGATATCACACCCAAGGCCAGTCCCCTATAAGGTCTTAGGTGCGAGAGTTTTCCGGGAGTAAAGGACATTCCTTTACCATATGGTCTCTCCTACCACAGTATAGGCAGAGTCCCTCCCTTCTCCTATGTAATTTCTCAGTGTCAGAGAGTTTGGCAACCCCTAATTGCATAGGTTCCTCCTCAGACACTTTAACACTCTCTGGTAGATTAACTCTGGGGTTAATGGGTGTAACAAAACGTCTATTCCTGTTCTTGGTATAGAGCCTGTCACGAATTCTATTATCAATATCGATGAGGTAATCGATAAGGTCCTCTAAGGCAATAGGAAGCTCCTTAGCTGCTACCTCATCCAATATCGTATCTGACAAACCTTCCATAAAGGCAGTAGTTAACCCATTGTTGGTCCAATCTACCTGCGAAGCAAGAGTGCGAAACTGAATAGCATAATCAGCCACAGACCTAGAACCCTGTTTAATTCTCATTAATGCTCTTGCGGCATTCTTTGACCTTTTCATTGTGTCAAAAGTTCTACGAAAAGCCGTAAGAAAACTGTTGAAATCATGTACCATAGGCCCATTAGCCTCCCAAATAGGATTTGCCCACTCAAGTGCCTTATCGGTAAGTTGGTGCATAAAGAACCCAACCTTAGACCTCTCTGTGGGAAATGAACGTGGATACATCTCAAAGTGAAATTCAATCTGATTAATAAACCCTCTGCAAGTCTTAGAGTCCCCTCCATACCTAGGAGGAGGTGTTAAATGGGCCGAAGTATTAGGCAAAGTAGATACTTCAGGGAGAAGGGGCGTAGGAGGGTTAGGTGTAGTTGCTGGAACGGTTCTAGCTAGGAGCGTCTGGAGAGCCTGAGCTATTTGATCCATACGGTGATCCTGCTCTACAAATCTTGCCTCATGGGACGCCATCTGTTGAGCTAAATCTGCGGGGTCCATGGCCCTATCGTAATGTAACGAGAATATACCCCTACACGCAGGATCCAGCTAAACAGAGGCAAATACAGAGGAGAGATACGTCTACCGGACCTTAGAATGGCCGGACTTGACGTATATGAGAGAAGACAGAGCCAGGAACAAACCGAGGTCAAGGGCACAGAGAGACAGCGTAAACTAGGACAAGCCGGGGTCTGGTACACGGAAAACAGCAAGCCGGCAAACAGTACAGATAAGGATAAAGCGAAAACGAAGTCAGAATACGAAGCCAAAGTCAATACGAGAAAACACAACTGAACACCACAAGCGCTAAAGGGAACTGAAACAGAAACCACGATAGGGCAAGGAACAAAGGGAAGAAGGTGAGTATAAATACCTAAACATCTAATTTGATTGGTCCCTGTCACATCCACGCCCCCAAAAGGTAAGTGTATGGGGAGTGTGGCATGACAGGGACCAATGGGATGCCTTTTCCAATTTAGGCACCCACTGTCCCTTTAAGAGCGCGCCCGAGACTCGCGGCGCGCTCTTAGATTCAGGCGGGACACGTGACCGCCTCACGCGGTCACTGCCCGCCGTCCATCCGAAGTAGTTGGATGAGCCGCGCGCGGCTCGTGCAGCCGCAGGACCGCGACCGGCCCCCGGTTAAGGTAAGTAACGCTACAGATGCGGAGATGAGTCCTAGCTCCAGCCTGTTAGTTGTTAGTGGCTGCACTGCACTTGACCGAGTTCTTGAAAGCACTTGGTGATGTTGCGTTAGGTTGATCTAAGTTCCTTTCCTTTGAATGCCCAGAAAGAGTACCGCTTGAGTGAGTCTGTCCCAAATTGTGACCTTCGTGTGCTCTTCCACCGCGCCGGTGTGCTCGAAGTCAATCCCTGTGGTGGCAGGGTGGGTCTATGAATACTAAACTGTCTGGGTAAAAACTTACGGTGACTTGGAAAAGTCTTTCTAGGCAGGTTCAACAATAGCTCTGCTTGGAGCGTCTATGTCTTTGTCCGCTTCCGTTGGCATCTCCCCAGGAAGGCCAGTGTATCATGTCTTAATAAATATCTCAAATGTATACATTGTATCACAGTTGGGCTATTACACAATAAGAGAAGCAAAGTGCATGTTCAGTAAATTGTGGGATAATGTGGTTTTATTAAATATTTTCTAATCCCTTTTAGTGTAACTTTTTTTTTTTTTAAATTACACTGACTTAAATTTGATCAAGGATTTTTCAAAGACAGTGGATAGTGCAGTAGAGATAGTCCTAATTATAGCATATGGGTCATTCTGATTGGTTGGGAGAAAAGCATAATACTTTCTCCTTACCACATAATATAATCAAGCTATTTATCATCCATCTTCAACAATGCTTTTCTTAAGCTTTGCAGGATTATTCACTATAGTGAGAATTGAAAATGTATTTCAAAGCTAATTTAAAATTGCAGGCCAGAATAGCTGAGCTGAAAAATTCTCTAAGTCAGCAATGCTTCCAGTAAACAAACACCATGCAGCTAGCTCACATTACTTGGACTACATTACACATACTGCATGCAGTGCGAAAGTGAAACCTCTTTATCCTCTTCTCCCTCCCACTTGACTCTACTCGGATCCTCCTGCTTCCCTAAACTCATTGACTCATAGAAACACACTCCTGCTCTAATATTTGTGCTGCCCTTGGGTCCATCTGCGTAGTGCACACCTGAACTGCTCTGCTCTATAATAGAATCTTAAAGTAACTTTACTGAACTCCTGGAGTGCAGCTCTCTCCCCAGCTGCAGCATGGCTGGCATTGTCTGGTTGCTTCTTCTGGCCTTCTCTTCTCTAATCACTCTTTCAGGAGCAGAAGACTTTGTGCCACCTCAATATAATGTCAGCCTGGACCTACCACCAGACCAACGCTGGGAGCCAGTGCTCAAGCAATACAACTCCACTTACCTGAGGGAGACTATGTACTACCTGTTTGAGTAAGTGACAGTTGCAGAGACTTGCTTTGTAAGAAATAGGTTCTCAGATAATCAGTAATTGAAGGTTTAATATTTGCTCGGCTTGTTGTTGTTTTAAATATCCAAGAATTTAGCAACAAATTGTTTAAAAAAATTTATTTGCAGTATTTTTACAGAATGTATTTTGTTAACTAGAATTTGTTGTGAAAAAAAAAGGTTCCATATTCTCCAGTCTATTCCATTACATTAACTTTAATACTTTTCATATTATTTAGTAGTGAAATGTGTTGATTGATTAATGCTAGTGTATCTTAATTTAAGATGGAGCTAGTAAAATTGAATAGATTGTAAAATTGCTAATTAATATATTGATGTATCACTACCACTATTGGTCAATTTATTATACTATTATTCTTCATTTGACTGTATTGTGTTGATAAAGTTTCTATAGATATCTCATTTTTCAATTGAGATAGATGTATTGTAACTTTATTAACACAATACAGCCAAATGATGAATAATAGTATAATACATTTGTGATATATATATATACAGTGGTAGTGATATATATCAATATATGAATTAATAAATTATGCTATTTATCTCTCATTTCATTTGTGTCAAAAAGCAACACTCCAAGCACCATAACCACTACCAGGTCCTTGATGTGCCCCAAGATAAGAGTGCCATAATTGTAGCACAGCTAGAATACTTACCTGGATCCCAACAGCACCCGCGCCAGGCCTCACCTGCCTGCTAAGTGCATCCGCTGTACTTTACTCTACAGTGACATTCTGCTTCTCTTGCTGGAGACCAGATGTGGCTGCTGCACTTCAGGGAGACGAAGATAAGTTGTTAAACCATGCTAAAATGGTTTGACACATTACTGTAGGATGGCGCCAGGGCAATTCTACAGCGTACTGAAGTGGTTATGGTGGTTAGAGTGTTCCTTTAAAGCTCTTAATTTTCTTATTTGATCTTGCCATTTATTAGATACACTGTACCTATAATTCCTACCTGTTGCTAGTTTTGCCAAAATAATGCATAGCTTCTACTATTTATGCCTTGCAATCCATTATTAAAGTGGGACTGTTAAATATCTGAAAATGACAGTTTACCATTAGCTCACCCCAGTAAATGCTATTAAAGCTTACCTCTGTAAGTACTTCTGTGTCCAGCAGTGGTGGCTAAAAATATTATAAAATGGTGTGGTGCCAGACTCCACCCATTGAATCTAACCCCGCCCAATCAATTAAACTCTGCCTCCTGTCCTAAACCAGATTACAATGGATTATATTAGCAAATGCTTCAAAAACCAACCTATTGTGAGTTACAAGCCATAACACAAAATACAGTGAGTTGCAGTAAGACATTTTTTAAAGATTCATACTCAGCAAAATATGAGTAAACATTGTTTGAGAAGTAGCATTCTCAGTTTTATACAGGTATGCCATAAATGGATAATAAATGATAAATCTACTAGTTCTTCAGCAATAAAACTCACAGTAATGTGCATTACTGTATCGCAGAATTCCACAGCAATAAACTTCATAGTAATGCGCAGTGAAATAACTTTGTCTAGCGTACAAGTATAAGTGCATCAGAAAGATCCACACTAATGTGCCGTAGTAAAGCTCAGTGCTTATAAGTGTATTACAGAATTCCACAGCAATAAAAGCCATAACAATATGCAGTATAAAGTACATATTGGAGTTTCACAGTTATAAATGTGTATAATGTGTCTCTTACTGCCCCCAGCCCATTTGTGTGTCTTTCTCCCAAGCCCTTTATATTTTTCTTCCCCTCGGTACCTTGTCTTTTTCTCACCATGAGCCCCTTTGTGTGTCTCTTTCTTCCCAAGTCTCTTTGTGTATGTAGTTTTCCCCTTCCCATGCCCCCATTGAAGGTCTACTTGTCTCCCCAGCCCCACTATGTCTCTTCATTCCAGTACCTTGTCTCTCCCCTGCAGCCCCTCTGTGTGTCTCTTTTTCCTCTTCCTATGCCTCTTGGTGTGTCTTTCCCCGCCCCTTGATGTGTGTGTGTCTCTCACCCCGTCCCTTGTGGTATCTCTTTATTTCCCCAGTTCTCTGTGTGTTTCTCCCTCTGAGAACATTTGTGTGTATTTTTCCCTTCCCCACGCCCCTTTGTGTTTCTCTTTCTCCCCAGTCCCTTTCTGTGTACCCTTAGCACCTCTCTGTGTCTCTCCCCAGCACCTTGTCTCTTTGTCGTCCCCCTCCCTACTCCCATCCAGCCTTGTCCCTTTTCCCTCCTGGTGTTCCTGCATAGCTTCTTGTACCATGCCACATGGACCCTGGTGGAGGGTCTTCTGTTTTCTCTATATGGACTGAGAGGAAGTTGTTTGGTGCTGTCAGTGAGCAGCTTTCTGTCAGTCTGGGTAGAGGATATATAATATATGTAAATAAATATAAATATACCCTATTTATTTACTCATACACCCTATAACATATGCAGCAAGCCAGGCATTTTTGAAGGGGATGCTGGAGGGCCTTCTTGTCCATGTTGTTACTGTCAACAACTTTAGAAAAGGAACAGCAAACAGGCAGAGATGACAGAGTAAGTAAATTAATGAACAGGGAAAGTGTATTTGCAGAACCTTTAATAGTGGTTGCCTATAGGCACATTCTTTTGTGAAGTCCAGGGATGCATGCTACCAGGGATGCATGCTGCCTGCTGCTCACTCTTCACCGTCACTTATTATTATTACTTCATGTAGTAAGGTTGTAGCAAAGCAGAGTTTATCTGCAACATTTTTCAAATGAGATAGATGTATTGTAACTTTATAAACACAATACAGCCAAATGAAGAATAATAGTATAATGAATTGACCAATAGTGGTAGTGATATACATCAATATATTAATGAGCAATTTTACAATCTATTCCATTTTACTAGCTCCTAGTTTTAGTCCTTCAGTATGTTTCCACACGAACAGTCAGAGACTACTTTCAAGTATGCAAAAAAATTTTTGAAACAAGAAACAAGTGGATAAAGCTATGTGACATATGTCCAGAGATAGAACCTTCCATAAGCACAGTGTGACCGGCACAAAGGCAGACGTAAGGCTGAATCATGGTCAAAAACTGAAAATAACCACGATTCCAGACCTTCTTCCTCTTTTCAGTCGGCCCTTGTTCTGCTAACCTTTTCTATTATCTCCCTGCAGCTCATTTTGTCTCCCACGCCAGCCATTTTCAATCTGTTTCTTCCCGTTACTCTTTTCATTTTTTAAACTCTTCTCTTTTAAACATATTTCCAATTCTCTTTCTCTCTTGTTTCCCCAGCATTTCTGTGCCTTTCACCAACCCACCACATAATTTTGTGCAGAATTCCTCTAGTAGTCCCTTCCAGTTCCAGCATCCGCCTTATTATAGGTTCACAGCAAATAACTTTATTTAAGATGTTCCCACAAGACCCCTCCCCCCTCTTTATTTAACCTCAGGCTCAGTCCTTTTAATTCTGCCCCATCATCTTTTTTCTTTCAAGACGGTATTCACAAATCGCCATTAGTATTTCTTACCTATCTCCTCCACTGCACATTTTTTCATACTTGTACACCAAGGCATTTTCACTCTCTCCCTTATATCTGCAGGCATACGGTCAATGTACTTGGATTAATTTAATAAAATTACCAACAATTTCAATATTGCATGAGTATACAGCCTTGTGCTGCATAACTAATCTCAGTTCCATGTTGAATAACTAGATAGGCTATAATATATATTTAAATAGATTTTTCATCCAAAAGCATTTTATTAAAATCATTCTGATTTAAAAAAATAAATAAAAATATCTAAGTTTAAATGAAAAGGGTCCACTTTATTTGATCTCCTTTTTTGAAATCATCAATTTTCATCCACCCTGACCATGTCATTGATAAGCTTTCGTTGGGATGTGTCCAGATCCATGAAGGAATATCAGAAAATAGACAAGTTCGCACATCAAAGAAAGAAAGTTACCTGCACACTTCCTAAATCCTTACGCATATTTAAATAAATGCAGGTTATTTAGTAACTCCGATGGCCATTAGATGGAAGCCCACCTGCCACGTCAAGGCAAACCTCTTAGGTGGGTCCTACACTGACTATTCACCTTGCTTCCTTGAGCTTCAGGCAATTAAATCTATTTGAGATATCAACACAATGTCTATGGAACATCGATTTTTTAAAATCCTATTAATGCATATAATGCCACTATGTGTTAATACAGGTACAGGAACAATCTATGAAGCTTAGTTAATGTGCCCTGGACAAACAAAAATATTTAACATACATACAAACACACATATAAAAGAAAGTAAAGAGGAAGAGAGAAAATTTGCATAGTAATGACCAGCTGGTTTGATTGTCATTTTCTTTGTTTGTAATCTTAAGGTTCCGAATAATAGTTCTGCAACTGACATATCTTTGAATATTTTATTTCAGCATGAGTATCCCTAAGTGGGCCCACGTCGTCATCCTTCCAATTACAGATATTGATTTATTTCTCTTGGCTAAGGAACCCTATGCTTCAGAGATCCTTGGTATTGCCAAAACCTTGGGTGTTCATCCTGGGGATGTGCTCGGTCTAAACCTTGTTTATGAAGCCACAGCGTAAGTATAGACAAGTCAAGACAAAATGTCAGCATTTAATAAGTAGAACATAAAGCAAAATTACAGTGAAATATCACAATATAAGAATTATTTATTTATTGTATTGGACCTGCATAGCTCAATGAAAATATATTTGCTGCACTGGTACACTGGGGAACCAGTAAGTTGTTTAATTGGACTAAAACTGTTTTGCAGATCACTCAATGTAGGTCCCATGGCACTCCAGGGACCATAGTCAATACAGTCTTTTATGGTGATTGGATGGTTTTTTATATGATGGGTAATTCAATTACTGATCTTTAATGGGTTAAATGAAGCTAAAAAAGCTTATGCTAGATTTTTCATGGTACATTAAAGCCTTCAACATGCTCACTAACATTGGAGGCACATAAAGGAGGCACATAAAGGAGTACTGCAATTTTATGTGTGTTAAAAGTTATTTTGTATACACTAAAAAGCTGCCTCCATAGCTGTCCTTCTTACTGTCCTGATGTGAAATATTTATGTCTAGAGGTGAGCTCAAAGTACAACTTTGATAATCTGTCAAGATAATTTACCTAATTGGACACGATGAAATGAAAACAGCTAAGTGTTATTTTTCAACTATTTATGTTAGAGGTCATCTTGTTGATTTCATAATGTTTAAACAAGGCATGTCAAACTCATCAAATTGCACAATTGGCCAAAACCCAAGGAAGATCCCCTAGCTCTGAAACAGTTCTGCATATTTAAACATTGACATAGATATATGTATATACATAGTTACACAGCTAACTGTTAGGACGCTCCATGCTATCCTGGAAATAAGGACACTTTACACCATTAGGACAGTATGGAATGTCCTTTACTTTTGGTGCGAACAGGGTTAAATTCCTTGGGGCCCCAAGTATCAGTCGATCAGGGCTGCCATCAGAAAGTTTTGGGCCCCTAACACAGTTCAAGGTCTGGGACCCACCTCCAAGTCTGCACTCAGGACCCATCTCCAAGTTTGCCAACATAGCCTACCTCCAAGTCCTCACACAAGGATGCAGTGTGTATAAACTGAATATAGCATGTGCTTATGTATTAGATGCAGTGTGTGTAAAGAGGAGACGGTGTATGTTAGTGCATGTGTAGTGGATATATTGAGTGTATATTGTATGTGTGTGTGTGTGTGTATATATATATATATATATATATATATAGTATATATATAGTATCTCACAAAAGTGAGTACACCCCTCACATTTTTGTAAATATTTCATTATATCTTTTCATGTGACAACACTAAATAAATGACATTCTGCTACAATGTAAATTGGTTTCTGTACAGCCTGTATAACAGTGTAAATATGCTGTCCCCTCAAAATAACTCAACAGACAGCCATTAATGTCTAAACTGTTGGCAACAAAAGTGAGTACACCCCAAGTGAAAATGTTCAAATTGGGCCCAAAGTGTCTGGCCACCATTATTTTCCAGCACTGCCTTAACCCTCATGGGCATGGCGTTCACCAGAGCTTCACAGGTTGCCACTGGAGTCCTCTTCCACTGCTCCATGACAACATCACAAAGCTGGTGGATGTTAGAGATCTTGCGCTCCCCCACCTTCCATTTGAGGATGCCCCACAGATGCTCAATAGGGTTTAGGTCTGGAGACATGCTTGGCAAGTCCATCACCTTTACCTTCAGCTTCTTTAGCAAGTCAGTGGTCGTCTTGGAGGTGTGTTTGGGGTCGTTATCATGTTGGAATACTGCCCAGTCTTCGAAGGGGGGGGATCAAGTGTGTATCTAGAGCATTTGGCACCCGGGGCGGACCCTGTGTTTGACACCCCCATGTCCCCCTCCCTCACCTTTAAAAATGTAAGAAAACACCCACAATTTTTTTTCAATGTTTTCAAGAATATTTAGTGCACAAATTTGTAAACTGTATATCAACTTGGGCTTAGAGCATAGGGCAGAGACAGACAGAATATATGCAAAAGTGCCAGGTGGACTACTATTATAGTAGTCATTGGGATGCATGATGGCACCACTGACAGTTCCCCTGCACCCCTTTAACATAAATAATCCCCCCCTTAATTAAAATTTTAAAAATGCTTGTAAGAGGAGATCAAGGAGCTGAGTGTGATGGGATTTGCACTCCAACCAAGGCTGGCTGTACGACCAGCAGTACAGATTAAGCAATATGGGTTTAACTGTAGTTTTAGTCTGAAATTGTATATAGGTTTTCTACTAAATCACAGAATGTAGGTGTTGATAAGAGTCCCCTGCACCCAGGGCCGCCATCAGGGGGTGACAACCATGACAACACCACATTCCCACTATATGATCGCTATATATATATATATGTGCAGCTGCAGGCTCCCGGCTCCCTGTATTTGCAGAGGGAGCCCAGCAGACTGCAGGAGCACATTACAGCTCTTCCCTCTCGCAATGCTTGCGGGAGTTAGAGAGAGCTTCCTTCTGGGACGACAGCCATGCAATGTGCTGCATGTGGTATGAGCACTGACAGGCTCTGCAGCAATGCTGGCAGCACTCATACGACTATTTCCCAAAGACAACCTCTGGATATGACGCTGAGCATATGCACTCAACTTCTTTGGTTGACCATGGCGAGGCCTGTTCTGAGTGGAACCTGTCATGTGAAACCGCTATATGGTCTTGCCCAGCATGCTGCAGCTCAGTTTCAGGGTCTTGGCAATCTTCTTATAACCTATGCCATCTTTATGTAGAGCAACAATTCTTTTTTTCAGATCCTCAGAGCGTTCTTTGCCATGAGGTGCCATGTTGAACTTCCAGTGACCAGTATGAGAGAGTGTGAGAGCAATAACACCAAATCTAACACACCTGCGACCTTGTAACACTAACGAGTCACATAACATCAGGGAGGGAAAATGGTTGTGCCCAATTGGACAGTTTCACCTAGGGGTGTACTCACGTTTGATGCCAATGGTTTAGATGGTGTGTCTGTTAGTGAGTGAGTGTGTGTGTCTGTTAGTGAGTGAATGTGTGTCTGTTAGTGTGTGTGTGAGTGTGTGTGTGTGTGTGTCTGTTAGTGAGTGTGTGTGAGTCTGTTAGTGAGTGTGTGTATGTCAGGGAGTGTGTCTGTTAGGGAGTGTGTTAGTGAATGTGTGTCTGTTAGTGTGTGTGTGTGTGTGTGTGTGTGTCTGTTAGTGAGTGTGTGTGAGTCTGTTAGTGAGTGTGTGTATGTCAGGGAGTGTGTCTGTTAGGGAGTGTGTTACTATGTGTGTGTCTGTTAGTTTGTGTCTGTTAGTTAGAGTGTATGTCTGTTAGCTAGTGTATGCGTGCCTGTCAGTGAATGTGTGTGTCTGCTAGTGACTGTATGTGTCTGTTAGTGAGTGTGTATGTCTGTTAGCTAGTGTATGAATGTCTGTCAGGGAGGAAGGGGTGGTCGCGGGGGGTGGTGGTACGGGGGGGTGGGTGGCTGTCGGAGTTTTGTCTTGCCTAGGGCAGCACAAAACCAGGATACACCACTGGTCAGAACGTGTGTGTATCTCTGTGTATTATACACAGAGGGCGCAGGGTATGTGTACATACACCCCTTCAATCAAACTCCAACACCACACACAAAAGCAGTGAGGCAAAGTGTTGTCGCCAGACAAGGGCTGCCAGGAGAACTTGGCTTCATTCTTATTCTCTTGGCGGGATGGGAGGGGACATGCCTGTAAGGGCTACACTATCCAAAACACTGTTATAATACAACATATTTGTTTTTGGTTGGAGTAACCTCTATTAAAGGACCACTCCAGGCACCATAACAACTTCATCTCAATGAAATTGCCTGAAGGAATTGGACTGTTAACAAACAACTTAACCCTGACGTCTGCAAGATGGCGCATGATCGCTCTGACCCTACACTTACTCTGAATGTCTGAGACTTTAATCAGGAAGCCTCGTAACGGGTGCCGCTAGTAGCCAGAGCCTAGCACTATCTTCCGTTCAGAAAAGGGAGTGAAACAGATATGTACCTTTTTTTCCGTTATTGAGAAGTTCTCATGGATTTCAAAGTGTCCCTTTAATGATAATTGATGTATCTGAGAAGTCAATGACGTTCGTGTGACTTCATAAGAGAATCAGGCATTACTTAAGGATTTTTTTTCTTTGCTGTGTATTTTAATGCCAGGTTGTCCTGTGTTAAGACGCATGGGTATAGATGATGTGTCACCTATTGCTCCTCAGTGAAGACGAATAGTATTTGCGGAAGAATAGGTTTAAAGAAGAATAGCTTTTGGAGGAAACAAACTATAGAAACTATTTTGGTTTGGGGTTTTAGACTCTCAGGAAGTGAATAAACTCTTCACACAATATGTTACATGTGGATACATACCACTTTCAGAAGACATAACATCACTTCATTATAAGCACCTTTAACCCTGTTATGGCCTGGGTAAGTGTGAAATGCAGTGCACCAGTCTAAAGTGCTAACATTCCATTTCCCTATTCATTTTACTTTCATATGCATGTCTACTTTAACTCAGAAGATCAAGATAAATTTATTTTATGTATACTTACCTTCACCTCATGTTGTACCCTTATGTGCTCATCATAGGGTTAGCCAAATTCTACATGAACTCTTTGAGATTATGTATTGCGTAGTCAAAAAGGAAAACCCATTCCAAGGGGGAGAAGATAAGAGTTGTGTGCAGTTGTGGTGGTCCCGCTAGACCACCAATGATAGATGAGGTGAAAAATGTTACAGTATTGTTATGCCATTAAAAATTCTGGTGCAAGAAAAATCCTTAGAAGATAATGTTTTTGTAATTACATTTTGCAGCAGTGTATAAATGACAGGTTGTATATTTAATTATTTTTCTTCAATGTAGGTATTGTACAAGCATAATAGCTCAAGATGAAAAAGGGAACCTTTATCATGGAAGAAATCTGGACTACAACTTTGCTGATATATTAAGAAATCTGACAGTGGATCTTAATTTTATAAAGGGAGGGCAGGTACAGTAAGTCATCTAAAACCGATTGTTTAGATACAAGACCCCATTGTAAGATGTGTCTGTTGCTGAATAATAAGGTTACAGTGATCTCTACATAGCTCAGAACTATGAGAAATGATGACATGGGAAAACCACCTATTCCTACACTTATGTCCCAGAAAACATAAATAATAAATAAAATAGTTATCGATCTGTGGGTATAATTAAAAAGACACTCTAAATATCAAAACAACTACAGTCTTAATGGTGTCCCTGGAGTCTGAAAAACGCTTAGCCATCATTCAGACATCCACTAGAGGCATTTTCTCCTAGAATGCATTTTTGAAGATGTTCATGTTTGGCAGAATTCTCCTCTATGAATGATATCCTATTGGTGCTGTGTGACATTTGCCACACATGCTCAGTAGTGCCCTCAATGCTTCCCTTCCCTGTGCCCTCAATGCTTCTGCTGTGGCGAGACCGTGGCACTGCTAGATATGAGGTGATTTTCAATTTTTTTTCATTTGGAGAGGAGCGCTCATTAATCTAATCCAACCAAGAACAGTATTCTAATCCAATATAAATGTATTTATAATATTACAATGTTCCTTTAAATTGTTACACCATTAAACGATCAGTGTTGCAACTGGTCTGTGATAATGACTGTTACTTTTTAAATAGCCATACTGTTGATTCTAAAGGAAGTTGGTGGGATGCAAATTGAAAAATACCAGAATAATGGTAACCTTGCTGTTTTTTGCCTGCTCTGCTGCCTGAATTTCAGTCTTCTCACCTGTACTTGGTTCAGGGTCCTGACGCTCTGTCCCGGGTACTATCCACATACAACAACGTAGCATGGGTACATTGTTAGACGTGCAAAACTTACTGCTTAAATTGATGTAAGAGAATCTCCTTAAAGGTACATTCTATGCAACATAAACTCTAACCTATCACTCTCAGACAATGAATGTCTTCATCTAATTCCACATTATCAAAGCAGTTGAGATAGGTGGTTCCAGGATACCATGAAGAGCCTTATCTATCATGTTGTTCCGTAAACAGCGCTAGTGAACTCTAGCGAGCTATAGAGGTTATGTTGCTAAAAGTGGTCCTTTAAACAAAGCAAAGCCATGTTGACCTGTGCAGCTCAGCCTGTTTTAGGAATGATTGTATGTTTGCATGAAGTGAGGTAGATTCAGACAAATGAGAAAGGTGAATATCTACATATTTATTATTGTGTAAAATCGGTAATATTCATAGGGAAGTTGTGAACCTCAAGAAACTTCAGCTGTTGATATGAAATTGTACAGACATTCTAGTCTAGACCACAAACCATATGAGTTATCATCGTGGTTCAAACAACACTATTTCTATGGAAGTAGTAGAGAGACTTATTTTAGCTCGTGCTAAAACACAGAGAGTGGGCAGGATAGAATTTCAGGTTGACAGCTGCCTACAGGTGTCTGTCTACAAGGGGCACCAACATTGACTACAAATGTGCATTTTTAAAAATTTTAGATATATTTTGATATACTTTATTTTTTCCCTTCATTGCTACATGCATTATTTGTTTGTGGACTTGCAGACTCGTATGGAGCAAGCAAGAGAGAACTGAATTTTTGGAGGGGGTGTAGTGGGCACTTAAGAATGATGTGCCTACAAGCATCGGCCCTGCTAATGCAGCTAGCATAACAAGTAACCGTGTGAAGAATGGGTCTATTCAATCACTCTGCAACAGCTTTTTAAAACGTGGTTAAAGACTGTTACATATAAATATGTGACAGCATCATTACCACAATCCTTTTTCAATTCTCTGCTAATGAGTATATTTCCCAGTTACATTATTTTTTTTTAAATGTATCGGATATGATCACATGTGCCGAGAGACTTTAATTTAAATAATTTAGCTCTTGAATTTCCTATGCCTGCAGTAGCCTGCTCAAAAAGATGTCTGTTTTTAAACATACTTATAGTGATGATTATATCACATATTCTATACGACAGATAAAGACCTCACTAACAGGCAGGGCCGGTGCAAGGATTTCTGCCGCCCAAGGCAAAGATTAATTTTGCCACCCTCCTCATGAAAGCAAATACAATCTCACAGAGGTTTATTCAGTAAACTCTGAATTGCAGTGAGTTGAAAACCAAATTGCAAAGTTTAAGCAAAAACAGCTGAACTGTGACTGTAGCCGAATTGGAGAATTCTTCTAGATCAGCTATTTTGGCCTAAATTTTGCCATATGGTTTCCAGTTAGGTCTGCCTAATACACACATACTGCTTAATGCGTACATCCATAAACACACTACCTAAGACCTGCATCCATACACACATACTGCCTAATGGTACATTGAATAGATAATTTATCGCCGTGATAAATTATGTATTCAATTGCATTTGGTGAATTTAATTAATAAGACTAGCACAGACGAGCACACACATTGACAGACGAGCACACTCACTGACAGACACACACTAACAGTCACAAACACTTACAGACACACACTCACTGACACACCCACACACACAGAGACAAACACACAGACTCCGACAATTTTATTTTTTTGAGGCAAATTCAGCCTCCTTACCTCCCTGGGGTCCAGTGTAGGGCAGCTTCTCACTCCTCCAGTGCACTGTTTCGTATGCTGGGGCCGGAATTACATCATATTCCGGCTCCCAGCATCACAGAGGGTGCTCGCGGGAAGAGTGCTGCAAGAACAGCCTCCCTCGCCACCCACACTGCCGCCTAGATCCTGCACCTCTCTCCTCCGGCATTTCACGGCAGAACAGGCACCTGCCATCAAGGTAAGCAGGTGCCTGCTCTACCATTCTTTAAAATCACAGCATCAGGGCCCCCTGTGCCAGTGAGTCTCCCCCACTTGTTGAATGTGAAGCGTTGAGGTGTAACCACTTTAATTCATTGTATCCTCTAACTCCTTCCTCATAGCAGATGCGACATGATCATAGTGTATGTTCACTGGCCAGTGCAGACTACACCACAGCCTTGTGTCCATTGCTTCTCAGATTGCTCAACATTCCTCTAATTCTCTAGCTGACCTTATGGTGTGTGTTGTATGTCGGCCCCTCAAGCCAACTTTTACCTGACCAGTTGGTATACCTAGTCCTGGTGGGCATTTGCTCTTCCTCTATCTCCACTGCCTCTATCCCCGTTGTATTGATGATTTTTGTCTCCTAAACTTCAATTCTCCTCTCCTGAAACCTCTATCAAAACCACCATCATGCCCCTTCCATGGTACCACCTCTCCTTAAACTCACATCACAGTCACACTCATTCACACTCTCACCTTCAAATCAATCAAACATTCATTCACACACTGTTAATTACTCTGTCAAAAGAAAATATAAATAGGTGGGAAAAAAGGGCTTGTGTAGATGTTTATGTTTTGATGTTTCATGTGCTGTGTGTGGAAATGTGTAGTGTATTAAATGTAATCAAAATCAGTTCAAATTCTTTACTAAACAAATGATTCCTCTTTGTCACCATCCTCGGCCCTGTGTCCTAGTTCTAATCAACAAAACACAGACAAATCATGATACAAATGTAATGATTTATATAGTGCGTTGCTAATGAACTTGGATTATAAACTCTTGATTGATCGCAAGTTTGGATTTCACATCCATTACTGATTTGATAAGCAGAGCAAGATCCTTTGTGTGTATATATTGCCTTATTCATTTACATTGCTGTACGCTGCCTTAATTATATAAGTATGGAGAAAATGGCAGCCTTTAAAACTAATGGAACCTGGATATCATTGATTGGATATATACTGACAGAGGAAATATTGGCTGCAACAATAAAATCATTTTATTTTACCTCTTCTGAAGAATTGAACCCTGAGTATGTTAAGGTAAAACTAAGCTTCAATATATCTTGATGCACTAATTGATTATATTTATCAACAACTGATCATTCTCCACTGCCATTTTGATTTAGTTATATTTGTCCTTTAATTCCAGATAGTATATACAGGAACAACTTTCATAGGGTATGTTGGTCTGTGGACAGGACAGAGCCCTCATATATTCACAGTTTCTGGCGACGCACGAGGTAAACCTTATTTGCTTTGCCTTTTCTTATTTTATTAAATGTATTAAAGGTTTATATTCTGGGTGCTAATTAAATATCGCATGTTACAACATTAATTTGGTTTCAAGATTAAATTCCAGCAAAGTCCCAAAAACATATTTATGCACAAAATCAAATCCGTTTAAAGAAGGAAAACCCCATGTTATCACATGGAAACTATTTGTCATGCTTTTAGTAGAATGACTGTTACAGCCTGTAGCTATAACTGGATTGGAGAGATTTTCCTGATCAGCTGTGCTTGCGTACCTTTTGTCAAATTGATTTCAGTTTGCTACCATTTGGAATTTTAACTCCAGAGACTTTTATAAAATACTATAGAATTTAAACATAAACAAGCATGTCTTCACCTTTCAGCTTTTCACTAATTTCCTTACTCACAGAGCAAGATGGCAAGTGGTGGGAAAATGCAATTTATGCTTTCCTGAAGAGAAGCTCTCCTGTCAGCTGGCTAATTAGAGATGTAAGTAATAATAGTAATATTGCAATACGAGTCTTGAACAAATGGGTAATTCAACAATACTGTGCTATCTGTATGGTTGCATAATTTACCAGTACATATCACAGAGGATAACATGAATATATTCTCCTTAAAAGTGAAGCCCACTTGGATTTGTCTGTGTTATGACATTTGGATTACTTCACTCTAATGTAATATGTACAGTTAGATAACCAATGGATGAAGGTACCCAGTTAAGTCCTAACTAATAGACATCTGCAATTCGTTTCGTTCCGAATGCAAATTCAGACGAATTTCGGAAATTCGGATGCTGCCGAATTTCCGAAGTGCAGAATTTCCAAAGTGCTTTGGATTTCTGAAAAGTGCTAAAACAGGAGAGGGTTGGGGTTAGGGGTTAGGGTAGGGTTAGTGGTTGGGGTATGGTTAGGGTTAGTGGTTGGAATAGGGTTAGGGGTAGGGTTAGGGTAACCCTAACCCTATTCCTAACCCTAACCTTACCCCTAACCCTACCATAACCCTACTCCTAACCCTGCTCCTAACGCAACCCTAACCCTACCACTAGCCCTACACTAACCCTACCTCTAACTCTACCCTTAACCCTACCCTAACCTACCCCTAACCCTACACGTACCCGAAGTGCCGAATTTCAGAATGCTGAACCGAATATTTTTCCCATGCACATCCCTACTAACTAAACAATGAGCACATCAGTTGCAACATATCCATGAGAACTATGACACTTACATTAAGGCAAATGAATGAATCAGTTTCAACTTGGGGGTATCTTGTGAGAAAATCTTCTGTAGACTCTTGATCTCAAGTTCTAAGCCATTCTTTCTTCATCCATGGAGCAGAGTAAGTCCTAGGTATATGTATAGTTCCTCTACCAATATTATTTGCTTGTGTTTGGAGAGGGGCAACATTCTCTTTGTAGTTAATAGATCCTGTTTGCCTTGGAATTGTATTTAGTACCATAGTCATATAGATGTACATGTTGCATAAACACTGTTGCAGTTATTCTTCAAACACAAACCCCTTGGTTGGTCACTACCTCTGGTAGCCTTTAATGGAGTTGGATGTGTAATTTTTTTTAAATGTCAATACACAGTTTATTTTCACAAATATCAAACATAATCCTTCTTTTCACCAGACTTTAAACAATGCTAAGGATTTCCAATCAGCTGTTTTACATCTCTCTGTTACTCCAATCATTGCTGAAACATACTATATTATGGCTGGGACACAACCGAAAGAGGGAGTGGTTATTACCAGAAACAGAAATGGACCTGCTGATATTTGGCCTTTGGACCCATTATATGGAGAGTGAGTTGCTTATAACTAATAGCTGCACAGCACTGTCCTTAAAGTTACACTTCGAAAGGCAGCAATCACTGTATGCTGCACATTGAAGGGCAAAAGACAAAATACTTGAGAAACTATCTTCTCTGCATTGGAATTTAATTGAAATTCCACATCAATCAGGAGAAAACATAAGACAAAGCATGAATTACTTTGTCTTATGGTAAAGTACAATTTGTTCAAAAAGAGTAAAGCTTTTAGTCCGTAATAAATGTAATATAGTTAAAGGACTATAACCAGCAAAAAGCCTGCACTCATCATTCTCCCAGTGTGTGTTAAACATAGGACTCTTCCAGCACTTACAGACTGGCTCCTCAACTGTACTTCGACTAATGCAAAAGTGGACTTAAACATTAACTACTCCAATACCCGTCTGCTTTCAGCCTATCATTGTCACCCAAAGTTGAATGGGCTAAATTGGTAGTTTCTTACTGCATTAGTTGAACAACAGGAGAGGGATAAGTCTGTAGGTTCGTGAAGAACCTAGTCGTCAAACTGCTCGACCATGGTCTGACACAAGCTGGTGTGCTTTCCATAGAAACATAGAATGTGACGGCAGATAAGAACCATTCGGCCCATCTAGTCTGCCCAATTTTCTAAATACTTTCATTAGTCCCCAGTCTTATCTTATAGTTAGGATAGCCTTATGCCTATCCCACGCATGCTTAAACTCCTTTACTTTGTTAACCTCTACCACTTCAGCTGGAAGGCTATTCCATGCATCCACTACCCTCTCAGTAAAGTAATACTTCCTGATATTATTTTTAAACTTTGGCCCCTCTAATTTAAGACTATGTCCTCTTGTTGTGGTAGTTTTTCTTCTTTTAAATATAGTCTCTTCCTTTACTGTGTTAATTCCCTTTATGTATTTAAATGTTTATATCATATCCCCCCTGTCTCGTCTTTCCTACACAAATCATTTATGTATCTAAAAAAAATGTTTCCCCTTTTTTTACTGACTGCGCTATTTTCTCTCCATACTCCTTCCACAAAAGCCTTACAATACACTATATAGAGCTCCTGTATAGTCACGAGACTTGAAGGAGGAAGGGAAACAAGACAATTATTTTTGTTTCAGTATAAAATATCAAAATATTTAAAAGAAATATTATATAAATATATATATATATATATATATATATATATATATATATATATAATACATTGCTAAACATAAATACACACAAATACAAGAAATCCATGTATAAAGTGGAATTATGAGGCAAAAATGTGTTTCTTTGTTGAGCTCATTTGCACTTACTTCATCCACACTTTTTCCCCACTACAACTATGTGGTATATATATAAAGACAAACAGGGTAGCTGCACTCACCTAAACGTGCATAAATGGGGTTCAGCTGGGGCCAATTCATACAAAGTACAATATCCAGTGTGCTCACTTCAAAGCTTGCAGATTTTATTAGTTTTTATTTTTTCTAAGAACACCTAATCTAGGCAAAAAAATAATGGGGGTTTATATATAAATATATTTGGGAGTCTAGGCCAACTCCCTGGTTTTGCACCCCTCCCTGTCACAGGTGTCTCATTCCAGGGTCCTATTTACATTGTACTGGATAGAGAATGGTCATGCCTTCGCCCATCCAATCCATTGTATTATACCATACTATAGGAACAGGGAATTATTAACACTCTTCTTAGTCACTACAATCAAGCTTTTTTGAAGGTAGTCTGAATTTACTGAATACTATTCTAGAATTACAAGTTCAGTTCAGAATTACGTTTGTGGTTGATGGTGGTCAGAATTCTTTCAGTACTGTGACTATAATTCTGATAAGTTTGAGGGTTATCTTTAACAGACATCAAATTGCTCGAAGGCAACTTAGCATATCCTGTGCTAATCTCCGAGTGTTCTTTAGACCTTAAATAAATACATGAATTCTAGTACCATTAGGGATTTTCCTTGTCTTGTTACAGCTATACAATGTAGGTATGTAAAAATGTAGTTCATCGGTTTTAAATTGATCTACTTGATAACTGTATAAAATGAAGGTGTCTCTTTTTAAATACTTTGGTGTGCATGAGTAATTGTATTTACCTTTTCTTCTGTACATACAGATGGTTCCACGTTGAGACAAATTATGATCACTGGACCAACCCTCCTCCAACAGATGACCGCAGGTACATCCATGCTCATGCATAGTCTGTTTCCCTGTGGTTTACATGCTACATTTTTCATGCTTCTAAAACTAGGCTGTGTGTGAGCAGGATTTATTTCCATTTTTCTATTCAGAGGACCGCAACCTTTGCAATTCTAGTAAAGCTTGTTTTTTCTAGGTGCCTGTTGGCTCATACCAAGCACAGTTTTACAAACAGACGTCACTTACCATGACCATTCCTGATGTACTGTAGGAGAGGGAGTGGGGAGAGGAGAGTTATGTTCTCTGGAGTACACCTTGTGTGCAGATATTAAGAGTAATTCAATACCAGTGGAAGACCAATAAATGATCTCCTAGTCACCACCTTGTTTTGATACAAGGATCATGGACAGTCCACATTTTCAAGGCAATATTTATAAATCTCTCCTCTCTCTCTCTTTTAATTTTTTTAAAACATTTTTTCTCTTCTTTCCCTTCCCCTTCAACACCATGCTGTAAAACAGGCAGACACTGTAAAGTTATGATTATTCTCTTATTTTTCATCTTTTCTTTTTCCTGTTCAGCTAAAGGGAAACTCCAGACCTCTAAAGCACTTTAGCTTGTTTAAAGGGAGCCTCTAGGCACCCAGACCACTTCAGCTCATTCAGCTCATATCTATCCAACCAAAGCGGCTGACTAAGTACTTCTGTTTCTGTTGGCAATGATGGTTTTCGCAGTAATTTGACTATTTATACTTTTTTCCCCTCTCTAAGTAATCTTTTTATATAAATAGTTTAATTTTGGACATTTGAAGCCTGCTCTAGGATATTATTATTATTATATATGATATATCCTATACACATCCTACATTATAAGTCTTATATTGAATCCAATAAAGGTTATGTTTTATTAATTTATGGGTTGCTTTTTATCTAGGAAAGGTTAGGACTGTCTACCCCCAAATCTCCCTTCCCCTTTTTTCCATTGAAACACTTAAATTCTATTAGGTTCAGCAACCTAACACACTCTCCCTGTTTATATCAGTCTGCATTATTATTAGCACTTGTTTTTAACCCTTTAGTTTTCACGGCACGAAGGGGGGCATGATGGAGGGGATATGCAGATGGAGCAATAGTACCAGGAATACATCTTTGTATTCCTGGCACTATATTATCCCTTTAAATGCTTTGTCTGAAGCAAGTGTTCTCTTTTTTTCATTTTACAAAAAGTGTCGATTTCAATAGAAATTTACACTTTTATAAATTAACTTGGTTACATCCCCGTGGCAGTCAATCAAACAACCGGTCCTGTTACTTCCTGATTGTTTAGTTCAGTGGAAAAAAGCACAGAGAAAATAAAAGGATTGTGTATGCAACTGGAAGGGTTTAAGCAGTATCACTGGAGTGGCAGTCCCTGGTCATCCTATTCCCTTCAGGGGCTGATCATAAACCCGCTTCGTCAGTCTGCCTCTTAAGCTTAGCTCCACAGAGCTAAAAAAAACCAGAATGGAATTATTAGGAATGGCTGACTGACACAGACTGGTCGTAACATGAGTTATTTCTATTAAAAACTGCACTATTTGTAAAATTCACACACAAAGTATTTCGACAAGTGTCCCAAGGTTTGCTAGAAAATTGGGATCTACAGGTCACCGCATTGTGGCAATAAATAAGGTATTAGGGCGACAAAATACATCAACATGGAACATGGAATCATAGTTGGAAGACTTCCAACAATATACATAAGGGACACAAAAACAAAAAATGAAAAGAGAAGAAAAATAGTGCAACTCTGCATGGATAGTTCTGTTAATAGCTTTCCATAATTCTTTATTTAGTTAATAAACCTTATCATGCATGCAGAAATTTAAATGTGTCATTTTGTGAAGTTTTTCAGATATTTGTTTTGAAGAGTTTAACTCTTCTTTTTTTTTGTCTCACAGAACTCCAGCCATTAAAGCTATGAATGCAACTGGCCAGGCAAACATCACCCTAGATAGTTTATATAAGGTGAGTTATATGTTTATGTACATTACACTGTAATCTAAATAAAGTACTCATACTCTTATACTGTAGTAATCAACGCCAACCAACTACTTGATATTATGGTTAAAGTATTTAGGATTTTGATAAGATTTCTAAAACTTTCCATTCATTCACAATATATTGATTTTTAAAACCACACAAAATACATATTAAGATAATTATTATAATTATTGCATTGATGCAGAATAAAATAGAGATATAAGTTAAGAAGGTTGGCTATGGCATTTAGATTTAATTTGCCTTATTATATTAAAAAATAGCCAGGAAATGGCTGGACTTTGGGCACTAGTTAAAGGTACAATTTAGACATAACAACAAATGTTGTGCTCCTTATAACATTTAAGTATAAAAAATCTATATTTTTGCATTGTCAGTATTATATAGTTTAAAAAAAATGAAATAAAATAAAATAAACAATGAATTGTGTTTAATTTTTGGATGGTTTGGAAGAACTAGTTCCTATTTCTGTTGTTTTTAATTATCTACCTCCAAACAAAGCATTATTCTTTTATTATCGAAATCTACAAAAAATAGCTATTATTAAAACATAGGACAAAACAAAAACAGCAATTCTGTGTATAGATGTTCAGGGAAACTTAATGTACAAAAAAAATTCTATGCATATGGCAAATAAAAGTTAGTCAATATACTGCTTGAGGGTATTTATGAGGGACATGCTGTCATTTTTGGAAAGTCAGATAGCCATAATGGCATCTCAATGTAAAAAATATTGTCTGTTAATGTCCACAGATAGTATAGTGGCAAACATTAGCCATCAGTACTATACAGCTATTGCAGGTTGGTATAACAGCATTTTTATTCTTATTAAGAATTTAACTATTTTATTATAGGATCTTAAAGGACCACTATAGTGCCAGGAAAACATACTCGTTTTCCTGGCACTATAGTGCCCTGAGGGTGCCCCCACCCTCAGGGTCCCCCTCCTGCTGGGCTCTGGGGAGAGAAAAGGGGTAAAACTTACCTTTATTCCAGCGCCCGGGGGGGAGCTCTCCTCCTCCGATCATCCTCCTCTCCTCCCATTCGCTCTTGCCGCGCGTGCGCATTCAGCCAGTCTCATAGGAAAGCATTTACAATGCTTTCCTATGGACGCTTACGTGTTCTCACTGTGATTTTCACAGTGAGAATCACGCAAGAGCCTCTAGCGGCTGTCAATGAGACAGCCACTAGAGGATTTGGAGGATGGATTAACTCATTTATAAACATAGCAGTTTCTCTGAAACTGCTATGTTTATAAAAAGAGGGTTAATCCTAGAGGGACCTGGCACCCAGACCACTTCATTAAGCTGAAGTGGTCTGGGTGCCTAGAGTGGTCCTTTAACATGTATAGCTTGGAGGAACTCCGAGCCAGGGGAGATACGATAGAAACATTTAAATACATAAGGGGAATCAACACCATAAAGGATATTTAAAATAAAAGAAACACACACATACAGATAGACACATACATAGATACATACAGAGACATACACATACAGAGACACACACACATACATACACAAAATGTTTCCTACCTTGTTACTTTCCCTGGGGTCCAGTGGTGGCTCAGCCTGATGGTAGTCAGAGCTCTGATTCCCTCCTCCTCCTTCCTCCCGCGCGGGCTCTCTGTATGCTGGGGGGAGTGACCGGGGAATCACTTCCTCCCAGCTCTGATGTAATCACAGGTGGCCCGGTATTTAAGGATATTTAAAATAAAGAAAAGTACCACAAGAGGACATTAATTAAATTAGAGGGGCAAAGGTTGAAAAATAATATCATGAAGTATTACTTTACTGAGAGGGTAGTGGATGCATGGAATAGTTTTCCAGCTGAAGTGGTAGAAGGTAACACGGTGAGGGAATTTATGCATGCTTGAGATAGGCATAAGGAAATCCTAGATATGAGAGACTAATGAAAGTATTTAGAACATTGGACAGACTAGATGGGCCGAATGGCTCTTATCTGCCGTCACATTCTATGTTTCTATGTTTTAATAGATTTAAAGCTAGTTTATCCTCCTAAGGCAGCAATAACATAAAGTAGGCTTTTCCAGTAGCTGCGGCTTAGGTCTGCACAATGTTGAGGAAGAAATTCATAGGATATCTGGTCTGATCAGCTCTCTTGAAATCATTCCACAGCATCTCTATGAGGTTATGGTCTTGTCACAAGTTTGGGGTGAATAGGCTCGGTATGCAGAGATTTTATATGGACACAGTCACTGAATTAATAGGTTTTATTTTGAAAACAAATAAATATAATGCAAAAGTACGCAGTGGCGTACATACCGCGTTCGCAGGGGTCGCAGCTGCGGACCCCGGCCCGCGCGGCAAACCGCCGGGGCCACATATGGAGGGGGCCATCAGGTGGCCCATTCTCAGGACCATCCGATGGATATGGATTGTAAGGGGGCCCGGTCAGCGCTGGGCGCTTTAAGAGTGCGACCGGGCCACCTGTGATTACATCAGAGCTGGGAGGAAGTGATTCCCCGGTCACTCCCCCCAGCATACAGAGAGCCCACGCGGGAGGAAGGAGGAGGAGGGAATCAGAGCTCTGACTACCATCAGGCTGAGCCACCACTGGACCCCAGGGAAAGTAACAAGGTAGGAAACATTTTGTGTATGTATGTGTGTGTGTCTCTGTATGTGTATGTCTCTGTATGTATCTATGTATGTGTCTATCTGTATGTGTGTGTCTCTGTATGTATGCAGTGGCGTACACACAATCCATGGGGCCCCGTATATATATGTGTCTGTGTCTATGTATATGTGTGTGTCTCGGTGTGTGTGCCTGTGTCTCTGTATGTATGTGTCTGTGTGTATATATGTGTGTGTGTCTGTATGTATATGTCTGTGAAGGGATGTATGTATGGGTGTGTGTCTCTGTCTCTGTATGTGTCTATGTGTGTGTGCCTGTGTCTCTGTATGTATGTGTCTGTGTGTATATATGTGTGTGTGTCTGTATGTATGTGTCTGTGAAGGGATGTATGTATGTGTGTGTGTATGTTTGTACGTGTCAGGGGAATGGGGGGTGGGTGGGAGGAGGCCCACGGATCACTTTCGCACCGGGGTCCCATGGATTGTGTGTACGCCACTGTCCCAATGCAAGTAAAAACGGTAAACAAAGCAATTCCTTCATAAGAAATAAAAGTCTTTAAGAAAAATAAAGTATTTAGCAGAGTTCCAGCACTTGCTAAATGAAGAAAGACTTGATTGAAGCGGTAGTTGAATTGCAGGAGATATATCAAAGCTGGGATAGTTAACCAAAGTAGAAACCGCACTGCAGGGGTTAACCAAGGTTGTTTCAGGCAGACAAGAGTTGATTCAGGGGAATTCCACAGGTGAGTGTAATCAACGTACTTCAGGCACAAGCTGGCTCTATACTCCAGAGGAATAACAAAACAACTAAGCACAGACCCCAGAGTGGTCTGTGCTTAAATAGGGAAAAGGGAATGGGAGCCCTCGCATGAGGGTGGGTCTAAGGGCCTATATAAGTCGAAGGCTCCTCTGGGTAACTGAGAATTCCACAAGCCCCTATGTGGGCAGGATGCTATGTCAGTTTGTGCATTTAACTTGAAAACCTCCATGCTGCTTCCATACTTGCTGAGCTGGATTCCCCAGAGTTTGTCAGCCTAAGGGTATCCTGGAGCAGCATGGGGAACCATGTATTATCTTCTGTTTGCTAAGATCTAGCTTAGTTTGTGGCAGATCTTTTTTTACATTTTCATTGGTGCCTATGGTTGCAGTTTATTACTTTTTTATTAATCTTAAGTACTGCATTAACTTGGCAAGTGAATTATAGCGTACTACCATCTATAGCAAAATGCTATTTTTGTTTAATAAAATGTGTACTTTTTTTCTACTCAAATAGGTATTATCAGTAACACCAGTGTTAAATCAGTAAGTACCATTTTTATTTTTGCTTTTCTTTTCTTTTTTTATTCTTCTTCTCTACAACAAAATATCTCTGGTGGACAGGGCTGCCATCAGAAAACCTGGGACTCCTTAAAATGCACAAGCTGGGTCCCCAGAGATAACACACACACACACACACACATGCATTCCAGACACACTTAAAGACACATACTCATACACAAATGCAAAATGCAGACAGACACACACAGGGATACTCAATGCCAGACATACAGATACCAATACACACTGCCAGACAGATACACACCGACAGACACACATACACACTGACAGAAATACGCACAAATCTAATATGTTTTAGCCACTCTCCTCTCTGCCTGCCTTTTGTCAGGAAAGTGGCATCCCTGTGGTCCAGCTGGGATTCGGCACGGCTGTGAGCTGTGCTGAGGGGGCTTAGCTGGGCTGTCCTTCTCCTCTTGTGTGTCCTTCTTTGAGCACTGTGAGGAAACAAGGTAGGTAGGTACAGACATGCAGATATTGAAGCGAGAAAGGGCAATTAAGAGAAGAAAGCAGAGGAGAGGACATTTAAGATTTAAAGATAGGAGGGCATGGTAAAGATCAGATAGGGGAAAGTAATAAATGTTGAACATAAATTAACAGGACTATTGATGCAATAACTAACATTAACAAAAACAATTTAAGTTATCAATTAGCTGAAAAACTATAGGGGAGGTAGGTAAATAGGAAAGCAAATGTAAATTTAAAAACAGGGATAAAAAAATGGATAGTGCAGGTATTCTTGAGAAGATCTTCCAGAGATGCTACCTCCACATAAGGCTTTTGAACTGCAAGACTTGCTAGCTGTGAGTCCTGGGAGCAACCTTTAAGTTTGTTTGTTGGCCCTCCTCCAGTTAATTTTGTCTAGTGGGAAACAAAAGATAGCAAACTCCCCAGTTAAAACAGGGGGGTTGTGAAGATAAGGTGCACTAAATAGCAAACCGATTTTCAGCAGTGAATAAATAATTCCTAAATAAAATAATATTACTTAATGCACAAAAAATAAAGAAAATATACGAATCGCAGCACACAAATATATACAGATCTTTTCTACACTCAAAATTCCAAATGTGAGAGGAAGTGTAAGAGAATAAAGATGTGGAATTATCTTCCTGAAGAGGTGGTTTTATTAGAGTCTGTACAGATGTTTAAACAGCAATTGGATAAATACTTACAAAAACATAACATACAGGGATATAATTTCTAATTAGTGGGGTAATAGCTGCTTGATCCAAGGAGACATCTGACTGCCATTTTGGGGTCAAGAAGGAATTTTTTTCCTAGTTTGTTGCAAAATTGGAAGCGGTTCAGACTTTTTTTTGCCTTCTTTTGGATCAACAGCAAAAAGGCTGAGAGAGGCTGAATTTGATGGACGCAAGTCTCTTTTCAGCTATACGTCTGAGATTTTTTAAATTTTTTTTTAAATATGGGTAAGATAGGAATAGGCCTTTAAATACAGCTCATACGAAAATCAAAGCCAAAAAGTCTTTTCACTCCAAATGGTTATTTTCTACGCAAGTATATTAAAGTAACTGAAAGTCACAATTTGACAATCATAATAATCTGTATATATTTATACAATTAATTACTTATTTTTCATAATGTTTTACATTTAGAGTGCAGAGTCTGTGTGGCATTGATATAAGAGACAAAACAGTGAGGTTTGTGGTGAGAAATAAGCGTCAATAAGTCCGTCAGTCACACATCTGTCCCAATATATTGATGTCCCACTGCTGCCACCAACTGTTAAATCCTATTAAAGATGAGGAGTCGAGTTGTTTGTTTAAAGTTTATTGAAAAGTGCTTAATTATGAATTCAAATGAAGAATCAAGATACAACAGAGCGTTTCTTAACAATATAACTGGATACAACTAGTTAGAATATTAATTAGTATTTCAAATAGTAGAATATTTTAGCTACTAGGAAGAACTTATTCAAAGATTGCTTTCACATCACCCACTAAACCCCCACAACTTTTAAAAAAAATTCAAAAAAACTACACATTGACATTGGGCCAAAAATGGTACGTTTAAGGCCTGCTTCAATTACTGCAATCACAAACTCGCCTCCTAACCTATACTTAGTCATCTCCAAATTTTATCTCAAAGACCTCACTTATATTTTTGTAAACTGTGAATATTTACTTTTATACATAGTATTTTACTGAAACTCAGTAATGAAACAGAATACAGATTAATTTTACCAAACATATAAGCCATCCCAGCCAAACTCCCAGTACATTTATCTTCTTACAGGAGAATCACATGCATTCTTTGGTACACAGTTACTTCCTCTTTCAATAGCTTTTTGACAGCTTAATATTAACAGGATCAAACTTGCTGTGGCTCCATGCCTCTCATGGTAGTGTAATGGAGGACACAGTGAATACATGTCATATGTGAGGGTAGTGTATTAAGCTTTATTAAATCGCAGGCTTACAACTTCCATCACAAAAAGTATAGACATAAAATACTGGTAATTGAGGGTAAACACATATAGAGGAAGAAACGAAAGTAGGTATAACATTGCAACAAAAAGACTAATCTTCAAAATAAGATAAGAAAAGAAATTACCACAGACGACTGAAAGAGTAGAGGGTAAATTACCATTCCTCTAAAAGTCTCCCCCGGTATACCCACAACAATGAGTACAACTCACACGGCCAGAAGAACTAAATTAAAATACCTAGTATATCTTTATTGAATTTTACTTAAACATAAATTAATAGTGAAACACAAATTCAAACGTGCTGGTGATATTTAAAAAGGAAAGACTTGATGCAGCCTATACGAAATCTCCTGATATATCGAAGTCGCTGTTATTCAATAGTAATAAAAAATTAGCTTGTACAGTCAAAATATTATGGCCAAAGAAGTCGTCATTTGGAGGACATTCTGTCGGGACTTGAATGGCTAATAGTAAGTAGCACTCTATCTGAGTAATCTTCAAAATAAGTTTAAAATATAGTATCCTTTGATATAGAGAATCCTGCAAACTTCTCACTTTGCCTAGATATATGCTGCGCGTTGCATAGTTTCTATTGAAAAGGCAGAACAGGAAGAAAGTATATAGAATCCCTATCTCCCTTATAATCTTGCTAGATAGAAAAGATAAAGTGCAGAGAAAACTATATCTAAAAAGTGCTCAGTGCATCATGTGCAAAGTGTGCACAGTTTACAGAGTGTTGAGACAACACGCCCAGGTACAGATCACATGCACACCATCATCAGGGAAAAATACCAAATGGGAATATATCGCCCTCCAATTAGGTATATCCCCCCTTCAAGCATTTGGAAAGAAATGTTATCAGTATGAATATGTTTTTTGGTATTGTCCTGTTGCACCAAGAAGAAGTGATCAGTGTTTTGTTCTTGGATTTTAGACAAACAATATATACTACGGTTATGAGTGCTGCTTTTCCTGAGAAATATACAACTCGGATCAGAAATTAGCAAAAAGGTGTGTATTCCAAGCTGGACATTTTCCTTTTACTTTGTTTTAACATTCATTTATTATTATAAAATGTTCCAGTTTTTTGGACGTGGTCTACCCTTTATGGTGTGATCAGTCTGATATAATATATAATATGGGTAGACCACGTCCAAAATACTGGCACATTTTCTAATAATAAATTAATATAAGATATAATTATATATAATATAATATAATATAATATGATATGGGTTATCATGGTATTGGCACACATTGAGCCAAAACTAACTTGAGAAATTATTGGGGAAGCTATTTGAGTTGTCCATTCTCAATATTTAAAAATTGTATTTATATAAGTAAATATATTATTGAGAACAACTAATACGAAATATCATTTTGTGCTTACATCCCATTGATTAGACAATGATTTTAGAACACTGGCAGGAATATTCTCTTAAAGGGACACTCTAAGTACCAAAATAGCTTTAGCTAAATTAGGGGTTTTGGTATATTATTATTATATTTATATAGCGCCAATAAATTCTGTAGCGCTTTACAGTGGGTGGACTAACTAACAGAAACAGAGGGGTTGAGGGCCCTGTTCAATGAGTTTATATGCTAGAGGGAGTAGGGTAAAGTGACACAAAAGGTAAGGGAAGTATTAGGGAAGTAGATTGGCCAACCAAGGGAGATCACAATCAAGTGAGATGTGACTAGGACTGCATAAACAAAGTGATTTACTGCAAGCAATTTATTGATTTATTTAATGCTTGTGCTTTTTTTATGCAGGTCATGTCAATGATGTACCTCAAGTTCTCAGCATCTAGAACATATTAATATACCAGTAATCAGTTTTTAAACCAATGAGAGGATTTTGAAAAACAAAATATTCTAATTTAATCAAAACTTTGATGCCCTGATCTGTTTTCCTTGCTCCATTTTTCTTTATCACATGAGCCTCCAGGTGTCTCTAATCCTAACTATTTAATTACCCCAAAGGCTACAGTGCATTTGCTTATATCACTGGGTCTCTGGACATTAACTCCAAACAAACTCTGCATTATCCTGTGTCAATGTCCCATTCCCATTAGATTGTAAGCTCACAAGTTATCTTGCTAAGCACTTTGTATAACTGTAATCACCATGTTAATTATTTATTTGTATTTTTTTCCTTGTACAACGCAGCAAAATATGCTGGCGCTATGTAAATACTAAATAAATAACAATAATCAGCATGGAAACCGGAGCAACCAGTAAGCACATTGCTTTAGTGAGTCCTCATCTTTTACTTTTTTTTTTTTACACTTTGGAATAAAACTCTTATGTATCTCTCCCATAGTGTCTCCAATTTAAGGTACCAAAAGTAACTAGCTGGTTGGCTGCTCACATGTTTCTGGGCCAGGTTATTGCATTGTTAGCTCATACACATGTGAACTATAAAAAAGTATAGAGGCATTCCAGGCGTAATAGTTGCATTTCGTGTCAGTTCATGGTTATCTCTTAGCATGAGGAAGCAAGTAGTGTAAATTCCAGTAAAGCAAGTCATCGTGAGGCTGAAAATACAGATACATTTTTTGTTTGCATAGTCAAAACATTAGATGCATGGTACATTGTTAAACGTGTGAGTTCTGCAAACAGCTACACTTCACGATTCATTTCCAGAATTTGACAAAATATGGCAGCCCTGAAATGCCTACCTTCCGACACCGTTTAAAGACACGCATCAAAAGCACCTTCCCTGTCTATCCCTTTACCCCTTACTCCAGGGGTTCTCAACGTTAGTCCTCAGGACCCCTTGCCAGTTCAGGGTTTAGGGATTACCTGGGTGTGTCTAAGGTGTTTAGAAAAATAAAAATAAAACACCTTAGAGTCTTAGTTTTTCTAAACACCTGAGACACACCCAGGTAATCCCCAAATCCTGGACTGGTAGGGGGTCCTGATGACTGGGTTGAGAACCCCTGCCTTACTCCATCCCCCCATTTTTTCTATCATATATTAGTAGCGTATTGCCTCGCCTCCCTTTTTTCCCTATATCCAGCTTCAGTTCCATTTCTTTTCTGTTCACCTATATCCTTGGCAAACTACAACCTTTTTTAACATCTTCACTGTATTTACAAGTTCTGTTATTCCTACAATCTTCACTTTCACTTATATTTTTTTGTAAACTACGATTATTTACTTTTTCACATGGTATTTTTTCTCAAGTCTAGTTATTCGGGCTAACTCTATCCTCCTATAACTCTTTTGGAAAATGATTTAGGGTCAATAGTTACATGTTATTATATTGTACTGGATTTTATAATAATAATAAATGATTTTTATACATGGACTAAATTCCCCACCTGTATTTTATGTCTATTTAATTTGTTCTGAGATGCAATTTTACACCATTGTAATGTTGATTGTTGTGCTTTAATAAAAGTTGTTTAAAAACAAGTGTGAGTTTTGCAATATAAAATGGAAGACCAGTAGTCAGTGACCAGTGATTGTTGTCCAGGATATATTTTGTTTAAATGTGGTGTCTTCCACTTTAAAATGAAACCATTGCTGTTATTACATCATAGTTTTGGTATTGTCATCACTGCAGCATTTGTAGCATCAAAAAGCATTTTAAACATTTATCTTGCATTGTGTTGATTCATTTTACATTTTGATTCAGTATTTTTGAGTTTCTATATAATGTCTTTTTATTCCAGAAGAGGCACTTGGTACAAACAAATGTACACCTTTCAAATTGAACAGAATGATAAAGTGTGTCAATGACAATTGCAACCAACATTTCATTTTTAAATAAAATATCAGTAAATCTTCAAAACAGAATATCGATTAAGCTAGAAAAGGGTTAGGATCATAGTGAAAAGCTAAAGGTAGTCATGTTTTGCAATTACTTTATCCAATTGTTATGAATTGAAAACTAAAATGCTCAATTTAGGCAAACATAGCTGACACAAAAACCTTTCCAGCTTCACCATGTTCACATGTTAAGGATTATTTAGTGAGAATTCAAAGGGAATTTATTGTGAATTTAAAATTCAGGGCAAGAGAAGCTGAACTGAATCCACAGCTTACTTTGAGATTTTCTACAGTCTGGATATTTGACCTTAAATTTGAAATTCACTTGGAATTCACACTTTAGTCAATAACCTAATCTAAGGCAAAGAAAATGTGTTTTTTATAGTAAGAGCAATAAGGATATGGAATCAGGGCCGGCCTTAGGGGTGTGCGAGCTATGCGGCCACACAGGGTGGCTTGGAGTAGGGGGCGCCCTGCGGCCGACACAGCTCACACATTGCCGGCTGCCTGGGTGGAGAATTTCATTATTCTCCATCCGGGTTAAAAAAATAAATTAAAAAAAAAAAAACATTGCGATGGGGGTGGGGCTTAGCGTGTGGCGGGGTGGGGCCAAATTATGGTGGAGGCGGGGTTAGACGTGCTGGACCCTGCAATTGCTGCATGGTAAGCAGGAAGGAGTTCCTGCTTCCCCCAACAAGCAGAATCCAGGAGCAGCACTACTTCCACCTCCATAATGAATAGAGGTAACAGTGTGTGCTTGTCTGAATGTGTGTGTGTGACTGTCTGTCTGTCTGTGTGTGTGTGGCAGTCTGCCTGTGTGTGTGTGTGGCAGTCTGCCTGTGTGTGTGTGGCTGTCTGCAAGTAGTTACACTGGCTGGCTGTATGTGCGTGACTGTCCATCTGTACCTGTGTGTGTTTGTAATTGTCTGCCTGTAACTGTGTGTGTGTGTGTGTGTGTGTGTATGTGACTATGTGACTGTCTGCCTGTAACTCTGTCTGTGTATGTTTGTGTAATGCATATTTTTAAATCAATATTTTTTTTAATAAATCCCCTATACAATCACTACACTTCTATACACACACAAGAAGGAATTTTTTTCCTAGTTTGTTGCAAAATTGGAATCGCTTCAGACTGGGTTTTTTTGCCTTCTTTTGGATCAACAGCAAAAACATACGTGAGAAAGGCTGAATTTGATGGACGCAAGTCTCTTTTCAGCTATACGTCTGAGGTTTTTAATTTTTTTTAAATATGGGTAAGATAGGAATAGGCCTTTAAATACAGCTCATACGAATATCAATGCCAAAAATAGTCTTTTCACTCCAAATGGTTATTTTCTGTGCAAGTATATTAAAGTAACTGAATGTCACAATTTGACAATCATAATAATATGTATTTATTTATACAATGAATGGTGCATGAAGAGTTTACTTGTTTTTCATAATGTTTTACATTTAGAGTGCAGAGTTTTTGTGTGGCATTGATATAAGAGACAAAACAGTGAGGTTTGTGGTGAGAAATAAGCATCAATAAGTCCGTCAGTCACACATCTGTCCCAATATGTTGATGTCCCACTGCTGCCACCAACTGTTAAATCCTATTAAAGATGAGGAGTCGAGTAGTTTGTTTAAAGTTTATTGAAAAGTGCTTAATTATGAATTCAAATGAAGAATCAAGATACAACAGAGCGTTTCTTAACAGTATAACTGGATACAACTAGTTAGAATATTAATTAGTATTTCAAATAGTAGAATATTTTAGCTACTAGGAAGAACTTATTCAAAGATTGCTTTCTATTCTAGTTTCACATCACCCACTAAACCTCCACAACCTTTGGAAAAAAAAAAAAAAACTACACATGGACATTGGGCCAAAAATGGTATGTTTAAGGCCTGCTTCAATTACTGCAATCACAAACTCGCCTCCTAACCTATACTTAGTCATCTCCAAATTTTATCTCAAAGACCTCACTTATATTTTTGTAAACTGTGAATATTTACTTTTATACATAGTATTTTACTCAAACTCGGTAATGAAACAGAATACAGATTAATTTTACCAAACATATAAGCCATCCCAGCCAAACTCCCAGTACATTTATCTTCTTACAGGACAATCACATGCATTCTTTGGTACACAGTTACTTCTTAGAACATTAATTAGTATTTCAACTAGTAGAATATTTTAGCTACTAGGAAGAACTTATTCAAAGATTGCTTTCTATTCTAGTTTCATATCACCCACTAAACCCCCACAACCTTTGAAAAAGTAAAAAAAACTACACATTGACATTGGGCCAAAAATTTTATGTTTAAAGCCTGCTTAAATTGTAGATTATGCTAGCTTTAGTGTACCTATAATCTTAATTTTATTAATGACAGTAGGCGAGTATTTGCTTAAGTGTCTCTTTACTAGAACTCCACAGCAGCACAGAAAAACAACCAATCAGAAAAAAAGTTAGTTACTATAAAACTCCCCTCCCCATGCATTATGTCCTCTTTCAAGCTGCGACAAAACAGAACAAAAGGCAGAAAAGATAATGGGGAAGAAATTAAGTCCTAGATACAATGAATACAACAATGTCCACCATCCGAGAAGAACTGCGACACCCGATAGTGTTTACAGACTGTAAACTGAAACGAGAGAAAAACAGAATCGAACAGGTTGATTATCCAATGAAATGTACTTCGAACAACATTTAGGTACCCAATGAAGCAACTAAAATACCTTAATATGTAGATATCCCAAACCTACTTATGGAAATTAGTACAAGTGACAGGTAGCAGAGACAACAAGCAGAGTTGCATATGTACCTGATGAACCCAGACTATAAAATTAAACAAGGGAGGGATAAGAACGGGCAGGAAATAAGATTATAGGTACACTAAAGCCAGCATAATCTACAATTTTATAACATGACAGGAGGCTTTGTATTTGCTGTTTTAATGCTCAGTCAACAAATCCAATGCTGTTTGTCTCGCTGGTATCTATTCTGGGAGATAACTAGAACAATCCCCAATGGACCCTCCAACTGAGAGAAGTGACCGTAGACTGATCGATGAAGATGCCAGCTGTCGATGTACCCCAAAATACGGGAAAAACTCCATCCGCTGTTAGATCCATTGTACATGGGATTACGATCTGTTTCCTAGCAGACATCCATGAACTGCCAAGCTGACCTAATAGTCCTTTCCCTGTAGGTGTAACACCGAGGGTTATCCGTGGATTTAGGATCGCAATAAAAAACTGCCACCAGGTCTCGACCTTTGATGTGGAAGATGGCTTCTTCGATCGTGCCGGAATCAACAGGTGATGTGGCCTTGTAAACAAAATTCCAACCTCAGGTGATGTGTCTGAGTCTATAACCAATCCCGTAACTGAACCGAACAGTCTTATCGTTCCCTCATGACGTACCTGGTGAGTGGTCTTGTCCGAGAGTGAACGTATTATGCCGGCAAGTGTTCCCAGTACTCCAAATGGACTGCGTAACCCGCAACCGTGGTAGAACAAGGTACTCCTAAGGGACGTCCAATCCGAGTCCCAACACTGAATTAATGTAGCGAAACGTTGATCGACTACTCTGGGGGACTGTGAATCCTGGATATAACCAAAAGAGGGAAACAAAAGTGAAGGATGAGATTTCCATCCAATATATATCCTCGTCGGGGAGTGACAAATGGTCTGGATCCAAGGGTAATAGGGCTCTGCATAGACGAAGGAGAGTCCTCTGAGCTGTATTCGCGTGGTGGATCACCAAGGCTTCGAAATCCGATTGAAGTGTAGGCAGGCTGACGAAAAAATGAAACAGCCCTGGTGAGCGGGTCTGGAGCAGGACTTCCGTCCATGAGACTGGCGATTGATTAGGGAGAGAGTGAATAATCTGATTAATCGTCTGTACGATCCTGTTCCATGCCCGACTTGTCAAAGTTTGTGGAGGAACTCATGGTCAGCACGCTGCCTTCAAGATATGGTATAATCTAGGGAGATCTTAGGTCCCTTTATCCCTGACTGTCCGGTTAGATATCTCCATGAGTAGGCCCTCGGCCAAGGGACCCAGGAATGTGAATTTGAGAAATGAGCTATAGGAATACCTCCCTTCCTAGCCTTGAGTCCCGCGAACTCCTAGCGATCTCAAAAATGCAAGTAAGACGTAAAGTCCCATCACTTATGACAGTGGACTCCAGAGAACAGCTACAGTGAACAAACAAGGTCCTAGTTTCAACCGACCGACCCAGGGGCCGTCCAGTTTGGGAACGTCGGCAGTCATATCTGAGCCTGCTACAGATCCTCAGCATACTCCAGCTGTAGGTTGTGTCCCGACTTTGTGACGTCTGTGTAGAAGTCGGTGTACGCAGGGTTCGCCCCCATAGAGTCCAAGCAGGTCTCCTTGATGGTAGGTGAATAGGTGGGTTAGCGGAAACCCACAACAAAGATGGTTCCTGTGAGGGATAAAAGCATAGAAGGAGGGTCCTCCATAACTGAATCATGTTCTCAGAGGAGTAGAGGTAGTCCTGTCATCTATCCCAAGATTGTTAACGACCAGGTGACCCAAAGTTGACCAACGATTCTGTTCTTTCCATGTGATCTCGGGTAGTGGGCCTTGCCCAGTCTTGTCACCCGAGTAAGGCAGTGCACGTTTGCTCTATGAAGGCCTCAGGATGTCATGTCACCTTGACATGGGTAAAAACAGTCTGAACCGTTAATACGCAATGGTCTCTGTGATATAGCGTAGATCATACTAAAACCTGCACTCTTGTAATAACTGAGGCACCTCCGTTAGTCGTACCATCTCCAGGAGTACATCTA